CTATAGACTCGGTAGATACACTTTCCAAACCCTACCATGCTTCTATGAATTCTTGAAGAGCGGAAAATAATCAAACTGAAGAAAGAAGAAAAGGAAAAGTAAAGGCAGTACTGGTAGTTAAACGGTACCTTCCAGCTACACGGTATTTAATATGGTATAGAAATCCAGGTTCCTCCGAATATTCTACTTCCTGGTAAGAACAAGACACAGTCACTTCTAGAAGGAAAAAAAAAAGTAACCAATCAGCAGAGTGTGAGATAAGATACATCACATACCAAGTCTGAAACAGCAGTCTGTAAATTAGGGGACCAGTTGACCATGTAAGACCCTGGAAAAATATTATGCCAAAATCATAGAACTTTGTATGAGTACACCACATCACTACTTACAGCCACGACAACCAAAACCAAAATATCTAATAGCTTACCTTGATATATCAACCCCTTGTCATGAAGCTTCACAAAAGCCTCGATCACAGCTCCTACAAATTTGGCGTAAAAGAGAATCAAAGAGTATACAAAATGGATTCAAAATGTAAGTATATAAGAGCAAGGAGTAACTTTAAGAACCACCAAGAAAGTGCATAATATATTACTTGCCGAAATTTGTGGGTTCTAAAATACCACTTAAAATCATATAAATTCAGCTTGGAGCACCACCTAAAATTTGCTTTAAGCACCACCATTTAGAAGATACGGAAACTATAGAAAGACGCCTTACGACTCAATTGCTCATCAAGAGTGAAGCGCTCTCTACTCCAATCACAAGAAGCACCCAATCTCTTAATCTGATTTGTGATGGTTCCGCCATACCTGAGAAAAACCACACAAACTATTATTCCAGACTTAGAAATAGAGTATAATACAAGTTATACAACTATCTTTGAAACAGATGGTTTGAAGTAAGTAACTGCAGTGATTAGATAGCATACTTCTCCTTCCATTCCCAGACTCTTTTGGTAAACTCGTCTCTACCTAACTCGACTCTCTTAATGCCTTCTGATGCTAGCATCTTTTCAACGACCAACTGTAAGGAAATATAGTAGCTTAAGTAATATATTTCAGAAACATTCACCAAACAATGCAAATATTATCCATACAATACATAGTCTACAAGAAAAAGACTTTTTAATAAAGCAAATGTGGGAGATTGGTATAGGAACGAGAGCAATGTAGTGTGAAGAAGCAGGATAGATAAATCAAAGCGAGCACAAAACAACACGCAAACACTAATAGTAATACCATGCAAAACTTGAAATTTGAACGGGGAAATGAACCTGAGTGGCAATACCAGCATGATCGGTCCCGGGAAGCCAAAGTGTTGGCCTCCCTCTCATTCTATTGTATCGAACCATGATATCCTGTAAAAAAAAACAAAAAAATAAGTGATGAGAATAGCAGAAACATAACCTAGCACAGCGAATCCAAAAAAAAAAAAAACGGCATTACTAAATAATCCACCATGCAAACCAACTTAAAGTGCCTAACAAACTGCAGAGCACATATATCTAAAAAATTAAGCAACATAAGAGCTAAAGCTACACGAACAAACTAAGAAACTTAAACGGATATAGGAACATAAAAATGAATACCCAATGACTGTCAATTATCTCAAAATCGATTCCACAACCTCAAGAGTCACAAACATTGCATGGCCCATGTGCAGAGAACCAGTAACATTAGGAGGTGGCATTGGTATCACAAAAGGGCTGCCTCCCTGCTCGAAACTTGGTTTGAAGTACCCCTGCGACTCCCACCTAAAATGCCCAAAATCCATGTATCATCAGAAAGATCACAAATTCCATGTTCCCATAAAACGTGCTGTTATTATTTACATTTCGATATCCAAACGTATAACAGCAGAAAGTTTACCATTTGTATATTTTCTCCTCCGAGGCAAAATCAAAGGTCTTGGATGTCTCAGGAGAAGTGAAGACACTATTTCCTGACGCAGAAACTGAAGAGAAAAGCGGAATTCGAATTTAATTTTACTGAAATCATAAGGGAAGTTCAAGTAGAGCACAACACGATTGCTTATCATGACGATCATTTTGTTGCGCATCAATACATAAATTTCGAGAATCTCGTAGTTAAATATCAAGTAGGGGTAATTCTAACACGCCGTATATGAAGAACAAACTTATAACCACTCTAGCTCTAGAAACAAAGATAAGCAGCAAAAGCGATAGGAAACAGATTTCGACTTTCGAGGCGACCAAGCGGGAGATAGAATGGAGAAGAACGTACCAGAAAAAGAAAATCTAGGTTGCGAGAAACATGAACCCAAGCGGGAGTGAGAAATTAATCGACGGCGTCGGTGAGTGAAGAAGAGAGTGTTGAGGCGGTGAGGACAGCAGGGAGACAAAAGCGTAGTAGTAGAAGTCGTGGGTAGAGAGAAAGACGTTTGGAGAATCATGGCAGATTCTGAAAGAAATGCCTACAGATTCCCGAGAAAATCTGGGGCGAGCAAAATTTTGAAATTCCCAGAAGATAAGCCGCTGAGAAAAATTGGGGTTTTAAGGGTCATCACTGAAGCAGGCCGAGGGAAGGGTAATTTTGTAATTATTGCTGTTCTTATCGTCTAATTGCTGGCGGTAAATATTTTGCAGATAGTGACGCTAATCTCCATTATAGTTTTGTTTACACTGTTCACTGAAATTATTGCTCTTCTTATGGTCCAACTGCTGGTGGTAAATACTTTGCTCACGGTAATAATTAACATAGATACTGTTGGTAACATTTGAAGAAGATTTGATTATTATGTTTTTTTTTAGCATTTAGTAGAAGGCAAAGAAGATGATCCCTTGAGGCCAACATCTACTCTTAACCCATCACCTTTGGTTTCCAACCAGCAATTACATCCTCTGTTTGGCCCCGTGTTTTCGCGAATGATTCCCTCGAGAAAACATTCTGTGAATCATCATAGCGTGAATAGTTAAACCGAATGAATAAGAATTGCAGAGAACAAAAATCTACAGGACTAGCTCGGCTTTTCAGTCATTTACCTCCATGTAGGATTTAACGAAAGAAAGTGAATCTGGAACAGACCAGTTCTTGAAATGTCCCAATGCAATCTTCATGTGGTATAACTTTGGTCCCAAGGACAAATCCGCTGCTGAAATCTTCTCTCCGTTTATGAAAGGTCCCTTCACATTAAGGAAGAAAAGAGCGGTAAATGTGTGTTTTCTCTCAACGGCCAGAATAATCTACTATATGATCATCAAAACTATTGTTCAAGGATCTAATAATCTACTATAATCCAAGACTAGTTATGGAAGAGATCAAAAAAAAAAAGAGCTTACATTTTCTTTGATATAATCGTTGAATGTACTAAGCTCATCCAACAAAACTTGCTCAGTTCCATCTCCTGGATCTTTGCTCTTGAGAAAACCGATGAATGTGGAGAAGATCTTTGACCCACTGCAGAAATAAATTAAACGTCCACACGCAAATTCTTAACTGGAAGTATACAAATTGTCAGATCTAAACTTTTCAGCCAAGAAAACCATATGAAGTCAGTTGCACATAAAAACAAGACCGAGAAAAACAAAAAAGATAAAGAAGAAATGTACACTGAAGCCTTTTCGGGTGGGGTTGCAAGGGGAGGCTCAGGATACTTCTCTTCCAAAGACTGTGTTATAACATCCGAATCCGGAACCCATTTCTCATCAAACTTAACCACTGGGACTTTGCCTTCTGGGCTAATTTGCAAGAACCTAGAAGCATTGAACAAGAAGTCAAGAAAACGACACAATAAAGAAAACTAAAGGAAATCACTGCCATTAAATCAAGAATGTCTACTTCAAACACATAAAGGAATACAAGCATTCACCATTCTGGTTTGTTACTCAAATCCACCATTCTCATGTCATAAGGCACATGTTTCTCCTCCATAGTCAGCAACACCCTCTGGCAAAATGGGCCTATCAACAAAATTATGCATATAATCAACTCATGAAGAAAAAATAACCCTCAAGACTAGACATAGAAGCAACCAAGTTTTTATACCTTTTGAGAAATGTTTTGAAAAGTTTCAGATTTCTAAACCAATAAACAATCTAAGCACTAATTTTAGTTTAGCACGAAATTCTTGAATACTTAAGTTGAAGTATCTATCCACTAGCGAAAATTGAGCAGAACGGGAATCTAATTGCAGCTTTAACAATCCACATTTCGAAGTTATTTGGATAGTTTTAGATTTCTGATTAGAGAAACAATCTAAGCACCAATTGAGCTAATACGAAACATATATCAGCAAGTCGAAATTGAGTGAAAGATTGATCAAAGTGCAGCTTTATCATCCACGTTTCAAAGTTTCCGTCTCGAGAGAGAAAGCGAGAAGAGAGAAGAGAGAGAGAGCTAACAGTCTCCGAGCTTGTTTGGTGTGGTGATGGAAGCTTTGACGCAAATCTCGAGAGGAGTAGCGGCCATAGCCATTGTTCGGAACCGGCCGATTCTTCCCGGTTTAGTCGAACCGCACCGCTTAATAAAACCGGCGCGGCTGACCGACGCCGATAAAACACCGGCGGTGCTTGGTTGGAGCCTAAGGCTTATCATATTTTTGTCTTTTGTTTTTCTGCCAACTTTCCTTTTTCTTTTTTTTTTTATTTGAAACCGTAGACTAGTCTGGAAATTATCAGTGGCTAAGTTGACTGACACGTGGCTACTATAAGGTATCACGTAACAACTATCATGGGCCTCAATATCTTCAACTCTCAGCCCGTTTTAGTCGTAGAAGCCCAGTACTTTATCTAGGCCTTGATATCCTAGTTTCTATCTTGAGAAACAGAAAAACCTTTTTTTTTTGTCAAAGGATTTGAAATTTTCTTAAAACTATACAAGAGACTAATTTATGGAAACTAGTTATCCGAGTATTTTGACATCAAAGTTTCAATCATAAATTTAGATGTTAAAAGTTAAGAAATCTTAATGATGAACATTCAAGATCGATCGTAGTATAAATAAATACATTTTCTCAACAATAAAATATAAAAAGGAAATTTAAAGAACTTTAAACCACTGGCTCGCTGGATCACAGGAAGCATCCTTGGTCAAACACTTGCAAGGGTTAGCGACGACGCTGTTGTCACGCTCGTCCACGTCAAGACATAGCAACAAACCATTACTTGTCTTGAAAGACAAATGCATCTTAGTAGCTGAGATTTGTCCCAACTTTGAACACATAGAGCCAACTCCAAGCTTCACCTTTTGTCCAGCAACATTTGGAGCTTGTACGCACATTTTGTTGATCCAAAGATTGCCTTCTTTAGGATTAAAGGTCGATGGCTCGGATTTAGGGCATGGTCCCAATCGAAGTGTAGGTGAATTGTCTGATGGATTATTGGTGACGCAAAGGCCAGTTAATGGGTGGAAGATAAGGTTTTTGTGTTGTAAACCGGGTCCTGCAAAATATTTAAAGACTCGGTATATTAGACTCCAAAATATACATGTTCATCAACAAATTTTGGAGATATACGGGTTCTGGATACTGCACTAAAAAGTATTAATTTGTATTATTGTATAGCCTGGTGTTTTAAGTTCATTTAGAAAAGAAAAATATGATAAAGAAAAACCTAGGGTTATTAATTACTCCAAAATTGTATAACTTAGAGCGAATTTGTTTTCATATATATAAAGAAAAAAAAAAGAGAATTCTGACCTCTAAATGGAAATTGAATTCCAGAGAGTTTCTGCAAGAAAGAAGAGTTTCTGACGTCTTTCCAATTAGCATCCAAAACGCCATAAGTCTCAGAGAGATTGGTGTCACCGTTTCTCAAATAATAATCTCCGGTTAACGCCCAAACCGCCCAATCCAAATCATTCTCAGCCGCCCATGCAACCAAACAATTCATATACCGGTTTCCGCTGACGTCGACGCCACTCTCTTCAGTTCCAAACTCACTCAGGATCAAAGGAAAGCCTCTCTCAATCAAGAATCCTCCGTTGTGTGTCACTTTCTCTATGATTTTGGCGCAGAAATCGTTAGAATTGTGTTTTGCCCACGCGCCTCCGCCGTCGCTGAAGCTGTACCAATGGAGCTCGAATACGAGTTTTTCGGTGAAGCTGACGTTGAAGAAACGGTCACGAAGGAATGAGAGGTTTGTGTCGTAATCTATGCCGGAGAGTATGACTAGTAATTTAGGGTTTGCGGCGTGCACTGCTTCTGCTCCTTTTGGCATGAACCTTCACGTAACCATTAACACGCACGCATGCATGCATGCAATTAAGTTCCACATCAACGTGCAATACATCACAAACGATACAACATATATGGAGAAAGCTATACTTTACTGATTTTATATATAATGATTATAGGATGGTGGAATGTGATAATTTTGATCGTAAACAATATGTTTTCAGAATATCAGTCGTGATCAAAACAAAAATTAGAACTTTATCATTTTTTTTCTCTGCTTCATTGATTATATTCTAACACTTACCTGAACCAGAGGTCAGGGTAATCTCTAGTGCCGCGTGGCTCGTTCCTAAGGCTCATGCCAACAACATTAGTGGCATTGCGGAAAAGAAAAGCCATCTTGCTCAAGCCCTTGGCCCAGACGAGGGGATCAAAGTTAGGGTAGCCAAAGAAGGCGTCTAGGTCGTTATCGCTGCAACACCAACCTGGCGTTGTTAAATGGTTGTCTAGTATCACCATCACTCCGTTTTGTCCCAAGTTCGACACTACTTCCTGATTACAAAAAGACAATAAACTTTAGAGATGGAAAAGGTTCATTTATAATTACGTACATATATAGGAATAAGTTTGATTTTGGCTTAAATTTTTTTGATAATTCCCCGAATGAAATGGGTTATTTTCCTTTTGTTTGGTTACTTCGTTCTTGTTTTAAATTAGTTCACGTTTAGATATTCAAACTGAAACATAAACGGAACTCAACATGGGTTATTGTTTTGGTTCATCTCGGAACGACTAAACCAATGCTGTAACATTAATTTTACCTGGAATGCTCTGAATATGGAAAGGTTAAGGATTTTGGGATTATGAGTTTGAATCCCAAGAACATCTTCAAACAACTTCAAGCCTTCAAAAGACTGTTTGACCGTAACATTATGAGCCAATGTATCGTTAGTCATCAAATCAAGAGGCCAAGTGAGCCTAACGCAGTTAAATCCCATTGAGACAATCTTCTTGGAGATGGAGTCTAATGGTTGTTTGCTTAGCCCTTCAGCCACCGCGGGCTGGAGATGAGCTGGCCAGTTCACACAGGCTAACTTCACCCTTTGGCCTTTCTCGTCCACAATCCATCGAGATTTTGTGGAGAGAGGATAGCTTGTGGTTAGCTTTGGAATCCAAGAAATGAATAAGAAGAAGAAGAGGCAAAAAAAGATGGATCTTGCCATTTTTTGTTATTGATTTTGCTTATACTGAATTTGAATTTGATTCGTAATTTTATATTGCGAAGAAAGTTGGTTTAGTTTCTGGTTTTTGGCAGATTATACGTGTTTATGGTTAGAGGGTTTTATTTGCCAACAAAAGAAAAAACAATCGCATTAACAAGAAAAAAACAAAAACAAAATAAAACGACAGAGCATGAAGTTAACAAATTCTGAGCTGTTTTTTGCTCGAGAATGTTCAAATACCTTTAATCAGTTAAAAGACTTATAATGAAACCAACATTATCTTAACAGTAAAATTCTGTTTCTGTACTTTTTTTATAACCAGAAAATAATATTTTAACTTTTTAATCTTATATATCTTTGTTTTTAATTTATCTTTTTGTCCACTTATAACAAAAAAGGTGAAAACAACTATAACATAATAGTATAATTCAATATTGTGTATGGGGTAAAAATCAAGTTCAAACTGCGAACTAACCATGCTACAAATCATAGTTTTCTCGAATATCTTTAGGCGTAGGTACAATTATTCATTAATACTGTTGCAGATAAATATTCTTTCATTATACGTTGTATCATATTAAGGTGCAGAAATGTAAGTGGTTAAGACATTAATGAAAACATTTATTTCAGTCCCCAATGTGGTAAATCCAGCTTCGTTGTTTTCTCCCCTTCCTACCATTGAGGAAGAACCAGCCTAAGCCTGCACCTACTGGTGCAAATAGAGCCGCACCAATTGCTGCACCGATCTTCCCTAACCGGATCATTTCCCCTGACCGGTCAACACAAGCTTCAAGAGGCTGACCACACAAACTCGGGTTATTAGCAAAGCTCTCGACTCCAATTCTCGAGGTGGTTTCGCTGAAAATTGGGACAGGACCGGTGAGTAGATTGTCTGCCACTGAGAACTTGGTGAGCCGCGTAAGTGACCCTAGCTGGGGAGGAAGCCGACCAGTGAACTGGTTTTGCTGAAGCAGAAGAGAGTTCAGAAAGGAAATATTTGATAAACCGACTGGCATTTCACCTGAGAATTGATTGTGAGAGAGGTCGAGAATAGTTGCAAGTGTAATCAAGTCGGATATGTTAGATGGTAAAGTTCCAGAGAAGTTGTTTCTAGAAAGATCTAGACCTGTCAGATCTTGACATAGTTCAATCCCAAGAGGAAACTCTCCTTTGAGACCATAACCGGGGAGCCTAATGCTCAGAACCCTATTCTCATCATCATGCCAACAAGTCACACCACAGAACTTGCAGATAAAACCAACAGTCTGGTTGCGAAATTGCCAGTTGGACAAGTATCCATTGGGATCCTCAACTTGTGATATTATGCTCTTCAGGCAATTTACGTTGGCCTCGTTTGCGCCTGTGAAGCTAGACACCAGCAAGAACCAGAGACAAGTTGCGACTACTGTTATTATGGACATTTTTTTTTTGTGAGAGAGAGAGAGAGAGAGAGTTTTTGGTTTAGGCAGGAATGGCAAGTGGAAATTGTTACGGAAGCCAAAACTTGAACATGGGGAGTTATAAAGACATTTCTAAGTCACAGGTCGTCTCTTGTCCCGTAAAAGGGGTTTACGTAGGAGACTTGAAGATAGTCATGGTTTTGAATATTCAACCGTGGACAAAGCGTTAATCATGATGTTCAAAATTCTTAAATTTTTTTCGTCTTGGCCAAAATGATTACTTGTCTAAATTGAGGCCTCATCTATGTTCATATTAATTTTACTTTTTAATCTTAGGTGGACCGACATTATTAAGCACCCAAGTGTGGTGGTAGACTGGTAGTCATAAGTCATCTTAGTATAACTGTATAGGATTAAGGTAAGGTTACAATGGAAGTATTAAAGCTACTCTTTTTTTTTTGTGAAGTATTGAAACTATTCTTAGGAACCAAATGCCACTCTTTGCACAAAATCTGGACGTCTTTTTGAAGGCAAGCGAATGAGTCCTGCAATCTGAAGCTCCATTACTGCTCTGCAAAATCGAGCTCTGTTGGACGCAAATGTTAAGGAATCGAAAGTTTTATTGCAGTTTTGGTAACGTGCATTTATGTAAATGTCCTGCAAAATGAACGAATAAACAAGGACGCACATTGGTGTATCACCGTTTAACTAAACTTGTTTCCAATTCCTGCTCTCTTTTTAATAATTATTAGTCAGCTTAGATGAAAGAAGCAATTTAATTTCTTTTGCCTTCTTCTCTTTTCCCGTTTCGAAAATCAGAATCTGAATACAAAAAAAGGATACTGAATTAGAGCTTCCGCAGGTGCTTCCGGTTCTTCGCATCTATCCTTCCGTTTCTTCGATTTTGAACATGTCTTAGAATTTTGTTTGGTTTTGCTACTCCTGGAAACAAGTATCGTCTTGAAAGATTGATACCAGTCATGGAGGTTAATAACATCAGCGTGCTCTTGCGCCAGCGTGTACCTAGATAATCAATTATCACAAACCTTTTCGTTGCAACACATATCGAAACAAAGAAAGAAGCAAGAACGGTTTGTGTTCATGTGTATATGTGTTTTGAAGATAAAAAGAAAAAGTAATATCGAAAGAATTGTTTCAAGAAAGACGACGTGAGACTGCAGGTGTATAAAAAGTATAGGAAGACTTACAGAATCGACGTATCGTGCATGGAAGGCAATAGCGTTGTGCCTCTCTGACTGCAGCATATACAGTGGAGGATATTATGAGCTTCCAGTAGATCTGATTGGATTCTGCCTCTCGGGTCTCCGAGTAAAGCCTAAAACAGATATAAACACCATGTTAAGGGGAGAAAGAAAGAGAAACCCATATGTAACACAACATCAATCGTTTCAGTTAAAAAGAGTGATGGTCAAACTCTCTCAGAACTAAATCCTGTAACCGGTTTGCTTTAAAGTTAATGAGACTGATACAACATGAAGCTTTTATTAATTGATTGTCTATTTTATAATTCATTTCAAAGTAATGGAAGTATAAGTGAATCCGAGAGGAATACGGATGCTGAAGACTTACAGATTGAAGTTTATCGACATTCTTGAAACATAAAATTTCATGGAAAGGAACACTCTCAACTGGCTTCATATATTCCCTGTTCCATACAAAAAGGCCAGGATTAATTCGCAAGATACATACAAAACATCTAAGGTGACAACGTTTTCAATTACGGTAGTGAAATAAAAGGAAGTCGAGTTCAATAATGCGTACAAAACATCTTAGGTGACAATGTAGAGTTCAAACACAAGTTGTTTCCTTGGAGGTTTCGTGACAAAGTAGAGTTTACCTTAGCATGAATTCTATGACTGCGGCTACCTTATCAGCCATGGCACTAAGCTCTTTTTCAAGCTTTGTATGGCTCCGGGATGCATGCTTTCTGTCACATCAAAGTGAAACTTTTTATTCAGTATACAGGGTAACTGAGATGAGCTACAGAAACTAATCAGTATAGGAACTTATGTAATATATAAAAGATTACATATCAGCTGAATAAGACACTAAGTTCCTCATCAATCTTTACCCATACACACAAAGGAAAATATATTTCAAGACACTAACTTTCCAAGGAGATCTGCTGGTGGGAAGCCGGAAATTAAAAGGAAAAAAGAGAAATTCTCTGAACTAATGTACATGGTGTTCGGTTTGAATAGACAACAATATCTAGAGATTTACTTTGGGCTGTTGGGAAGTCCTTGTCTCTGACCAGCTGCTTCCACGGATCTCTTTAACGGATGCAATTCCATTACTTTGTCATTGATCTAACAGCAGGGAACAAGTAAATAGCTCATCTAGAATCAACCATGTATTTAGAATTGAGGATGGACAAACATATATCACAGAACTGTTCAAAAGCAATCCAAAGAGATCCTGAATGATTAACTTTCAATCATTTATGCAATACCTCTAATTCAAGCAACAATATTCAGATAAGCAGATCACAAGACGAAATTCCTCCGCACAAGTGATATTAGAAACATGGAGACAGTTTAAGATGCTCTAGCTCAAAGGAAATGAAATAGAACTTAAAACTTAAAAGTGTCAACGGAGTTAAAAATCACATACATAATATGCGAGTCAAGAGTAACAGTGAGAACCTGATAAATTTTAGTAATGATTACCTCACTGAACTCCGCAGAGAGATTTTCCCATCTTTTCAATAAGCTACGCCACTGTGAAGGTGAAAGATCCCTGAGAAAAGTTGAATTCAAGAGCTTCAGAACTTTTGAGTCAAGCTCCTTGTAGAGATAGTAACACAATCTCTCAATGACCCAAATTTTTCAGGCCTACTAATTCGAGAGCAGAGAAATTTACTAATCGATCTAACATGATTTGCCAACTAATCCTCAAAATTCAAAATCTTGTTCCCCAATTTTGGCAACACAGCATTACACAGAAGATGCTATCTGAACAGATCCATAGGTTAAAAATTATGTGCGGTCCATAAGTTTAAGAGGATACTTGGCTGCTATTGTGTGAGGGGGAAACTTCACTTTTCCTCCTTACAGCACAACTCACCTGAGCTTGCGCAGAACCTGTCTGATAACACTACGTCCTGAAACCTGACTCTGACAGTTGACAATTGCTGAAGGTGAAAAGTATTTCAAGTAGCGTGCTTCTGGGTCAAGTGTCTCACAGAATATGTCTAGCAATCGAAGTTTATCAAACTTTCCAGCTTCGTATATGCACTGCAAAAAAGTAAAAAAAGAGAACCTGCTGATTGATTTATCCGGGAAGCAGAAATACTCTAAACAGATGATGAAAAGAACTGCCTCATATTTCCTCTTGTCATCTATAATAGGAGAAGCATGAGATGCATCAGGAGTCCAACGAAACCGGCAGAAAGTTATATTAAGAGAAACAGTAAAAAGCTGCCTTCTATCATAAATGGAGAAAAAAAAATTTAGGAATAGAACTCAAACTTCATCCAGATGGAGAAACAAAGTGAAAGATTGAACACATTTCTAAGTCTATTGAAATGTTTCTAATCATTCGAAGCAGGTGGAAAATTATTTTTCACATACCAATGGCACACCTAAGTCATGTAAGACGATGAAGTAGCTCTTCCTATGACAATGAACCGTAGAATAAGAGAGAGTCAACTCACCAGAACTACTATGCTCCAAGGATTTGGCATCCTTTGCAAGTCCAACAAAAATTGAGGCAGCAATTCACAAGTACTCCGAGTAATTTTATTCCTAGTCAAATGTTTATTAGCAGAAATTAGTACATCAAATTTCCTATTAATCGACGAGCTCCAACAAGGATATCACAGAAGTCCAACACCACTAACCTGTCCATCAGTTCTTCAAACATAAAAACAAGAAAATTAAAAATAATCACAGATGGTGAATTTTATTGGGTACCTCGTCACAGATGGCAAGTCAAAAGCATGCTTCATTGTTGATTCTGTCAATAGCCCATTACCTTCACCTGTCAGCTTTACGAGAAAAAAAATGCTTAGAGAAAACGAGTTGCGCTTATGTGGAATTTGGAAAAACATTGACGGAAAAAGATCCGCTGCTCTAGATGATCAATGGAGGGATGCAGAATGTACCACCGAAGATGAGTACGTATGAAGTCTGTAATATCCATAGATTCTATACATGCAAAACATAAACTAAAGTTCTTAATCATCAACTATGTAGTAATGGATGTGGCAGTATCAACTTCACCAATGTCAAATATGATCTTTGAGAATGCTGAAGGAACAATTTTCGAAAAAATGAAAATTGTGGACAGGTGAAGCATACCTGATTACTACGATCTTGACAAAAGTGCTCGAGCATGATACTTAAAGGCTCTGATGAGAAATGCTGAAGACAAGCTATCTGACAAAAGAATGTATAGCCAAATGAACAACAAAGAGTAATCCAAACAAGACCTAATAAAGCATATATGAAATAGCTAGAAACCTTGAGAGTTCTGACAAACGATGTCAATGTTCCATCTTGACACAAAAAGTAACTTCTCATAAAAAGCGCCACCTTATGGCTAACAGTGAACCCAGAACATGGCTTTAGAAAAACAGCCTCGAGAACTGCATCCATCCGTTCGGCCGGAGAACTCAGAGTGAACCTACTAGCACAAAGTCTCTGCAGTGCGTTCACTGATAGTATCTTTCTAGGCGCATCATGTGCTGTAGACACACCCATTATTAAAAAGATTGGAACTTTGACTGCCCATTCACTGAAGAGAAAAAAAGAAAGAAAGAGTGCATGACTAAGTAGACAAAAAAAACTTTTTGGTCCAGTGAGTAGAGAAACCTCAAAATGATACCATGTAAACATAGCAAGCATAAAGATGTGCTAATACCTCAATATAAGAATTAAATCCGACAGGACAGACCCACAGCATCTCTCTGTATCATCGACGATTATAACCACAGGATTCTTATGGTTTTCGTTTTCTCTGTACCATGATGCGAGAGTGGTTACATCAGCCACCTGTTAAAATGTCGGGTTACGAAGAAACAAAAGAAGTAAGTGGATATCCTAATTTTGAAAGCAGGCTATAAAACTAAATGATATGTATGGCTATGCAGTTTTACTAACATCTAGGGTTGGCATCACAAACTGGCGTAACAAACCTCTAAGGCAACCTCCTACACCATTCTTGGCTGAGAAGTCCATGGATGAAAGCTTAGCCACATGACATCCTTGAGACTTCAAGTGCAAATTCAGTTCTTCAAATGTCAATAAATCATCAACCATTTCTAGATTCCCTGACATCAATATAAGGTTACAACATATGAAAAAGCGAAGTAATTGTAACTGGTTTACTTGTAAAGGTTTTGGAGGCTTAGTAACCCTTCAAAACATCATCCAAACGTTACATTCTTTCTTAGGACCAATATCGAGTGTAGTATTATTAAGTGCAGTGCTTGTATGGACTCTGAAGACGCTACCAGATACACATGGTTGTAAATTCCAAAAGAAACACTAATCTTTAGGGACTTACTGGTGAGGACCAAAGCAGTAAACAATTGCTTGGAAGAAGCCTGAGTTAAAACAGGATAAGACCGAACTGCTTCCGATAAACTCAGTGCTCCATATGATCTGATCGATTCAAATGATTCCCGTATCCAATCATAAATCCCATTGAATATTTTGGAGTTCGAATCTCTTAGAACATTCTGCAATTGAAAAAGAATTAAGGAGTGGTCACTCAGAATAGCAAAACTAAAGATCCAACACACATTGGAAGAAATTTAAAGAGAAAAGATTGAGACCGACCTCGATTGTTTTCTCGATTTTTGACCAGACAGTCTCGAAAATTTTCAAGCGTCGATTTGAGAGAAATTGGCCATCTTCCTCTTCCGCGCTTTCGACCTCAGATTTCTTGGCAATTTTAGGTGTCGGTGATTCGATCGTCCGTTTGCTTCTCACCGTCCCAGTTGATTTCCCCTGGAGACTCCCAGACGAAGCCTTGTGGAGGACAAAAAATGGCTGCCATGAAAATGGGAAAACATCATAACCAACTCAGAACGAAAACGATGTCCAATTCAGACTCTGGGTTTCTTTCTAGCGATGAAATTCCGAACGACGCTTCAGTGGATAGCATGAAACAAAATTTCATGGAGATAGAGAGAGAGAGAGAGAGGGGACCCGTATATCATTCTCTTCTGAGGCGCCGGAATTGAATGAATCGGTAGCTGAAGATGGCGGAGGATCGGCGACGGTGCCGGAAGGTGCCATGGGAGATTGTCGTTGGGTGAGCAATCGAAAACGACTATTCCTTTTAGGGTTTTAACGCGCCTGCAACTCGTGCCGCTCTTTTTGGCGGGAAAATGCTTGCGCCGACCAGAAAAGGGAAATCTCAAAACTAAACCAGATTAAATCGGCATGGGACCAGTCCGAACCGGGGAATCAAGTTTCTCGTTGTTTAAGCTTGTATGCAAATTTTTTTCTAATTTTTAAAAATAATGCATTTTAATTTGGACATATAGTATAGTAGTGATGTTATTGCGTCAATATTTGAATCTAAACCTGCGTAAAAATATATATGTTGTTGAGAAGAAAATCAGGCATTTTTTTAGTTTAAAGTTTCTATCTACGCGAGTTGGTGGTCGTTTTACTAGAGCTGTAATTAGTTGGAGCATTTGATAAAGACTCAAATCAAGTCCATATTTTCCCATTACACCAAATAAAGGCCACAAATGTTTTTTTTTTTTTTTTTAACTAGAGAAGAGTATATACAATAAAAGTGCAATTTCATAGTCTTCTTAAATAATTTAGAAGTGTTAAAACACAATTTATAAGTGTTCCTAAATTTCTTAAGATACGCTTTCAATTAAGAAGGATATGCTTTAATTTTTTTTAATATTGTGGTTGTTTATTTTTTTTTTCGACGAAATAATATTATTTAATTTGGCAAAGATGAAGATACATAGTCCTTATGAAGGTAAGGTGTTAACCAAATAGGAGGATTTATACAACCAGAAAAGAAAGAAGGTAGAACATGATGCTTGGCTAAATGATGCGCTGGTTCGTTGCTTTGACGAGGCACAAATTGGAAGTCCACAGATCTGAATTTCGACGCCCATCTCCATATTTCTTTGCACAAATTATGGATCCTCACATCGGTATCTTGTCCTTTAAGGTTTTGCATCAAGACTCTGCAATCCCCTTCAAAAATAACGTGTTGATATCCCATCATAAACGAGGTTTGAAGAGCCGTTAACAACGATTTTCCTTCAGCTTCAAGAGCAGAGAAAGCTTTTCCCAAAGACGATGAACCCCAAAACTTCGCCACCCCAAATTCATCTCTTATAAGCCAGCCACTAAATGCTTCTTTAGAGATAGGACTGAAAGCCGCATCGAAGTTACATTTAAAACTACCAGAGGGTGGACGAGACCATGACTTCATAACTGAGTGGAAAGATCCGGAAGTATTGGAGACAGACCTTTGCCCGGGATTAACTTCCAGCCATTCCTTCACTTCTGATATCGCGAAAGAAACCTCTTGAGATGGACTTGGAAAGTGTCTATTGAATATAAGATTGTTCCTGGACTTCCAAATTCGCCACAATAACCAGAAAGGAAGAAGTCGCTGGGATTCCGATAGGTTTTGTATCCCTTGATGTTCAAACAGAGCTTTAATATTTTCTTCGCAATCTGCAGAAGGATGGAGAAGATTCGGAATGGGTAAATTTGATAGTCTCCACATCATGTTTGAAACCGGGCATTCAAAAAGGAGATGATTGATGGTTTCATCTGATAATCCACAACGCTGACATTTTGGATCAACTTGAATACCTCTTGATTGTAGTCTCGTAGCAGTACCCAGAGCTTTAGAAACAATTCTCCAAAGAAAATGTTTCAGTTTTGGAACAATATTCAACCTCCAAATCTTAGATTTTAAAACCGGATCACCATAAAGAAGAGCAATATGGCTATTCGGATCTGCCAACTGTTTTGCCAGAAAATACCCTGATCTAACTGAATATTCCCCATTTCTAGAGTAATGCCAAAGCAACTCATCAGATTCTTCAACTTGAGCCAAGAAAATAGATTTGACCAAGAGTTTATCCTCATCCACTAGCATCGTATTTAAACAAAGGTCATTCCAATTACGAAAACCTGGGCCTGAGGATATAAGATCACTTACATTCAAATCCCCAGCTTGGGATTCTTTCACCGCGGGCCTAGGTGGGTCACTGGGAATCCAGTTATCAGAAAAAACTTTGACGTCTCTTCCGGAACCAATATTGAACCTAACCCCTTTTTTTAAAAGATCAAGGCCAACCAGAATAGATGACCAACCAAAAGATTGTTGATTCTGAGCTTTAACATTTAGAACAGACTCATCCCGATAATATTTGGCTTTAAACAGCCTGGCAAACAAAGACTCTGGATGTCGATAAAGCCTCCAAGCTTGTTTAGCTAGAAGAGCATCATTGAACAAAGCTAGATCCCTGAAACCCAATCCACCTTCTTTCTTTGTAAGTTGAAGTTTTTTCCAAGCAACCCAAGAGATACCTTTTTGTTCTTCATTTTTTTCCCACCAGAAACGTTGGATAACACTCGTAATTTCATCTACCACAGTAATCGGGATCTTAAAGCAAGACATTGAGTATACTGGCATGGAGATGGCGACAGATTTCAGAAGTACTTCTTTTCCAGCCGGTGACAGAAACTTCGATTTCCATGAGGATGTTCTCTTTTTGACAGCCTCAACAATATATCGAAACATCTCTGTCTTCTTACGACCAAACTGCTCAGGCAGACCGAGATATTAACCCCCTCCTCCATGATTTTTAATCCCAAGAATGTTCTTTAGACGCAGTTGTTGATTTCCAGATATCCGAGAGCCAAAAGTGATCATGGATTTATTCTGATTTATCATTTGACCTGAAATCTGTTCATACAACTTAAAGATCTGATTGAGAGCTCTGCTGTTCCTAGTGTTTGCTTGGCAGAAAAACAAAGAATCATCAGCAAACAAAAGATGTGTAATAGGCATTACACCATTTCCTATCTTAATGCCTTTGATCTTGCCTTGTCGAGCTCCCTTTTTGATTAGATGACTTAAAACATCAACACAGAGTATGAACAAATAAGGAGATAGTGGATCACCTTGTCTGAGCCCTCTTTCTGGAACGATCAATCCTTGGGGGTAACCATTTATCAATACCGAGTAGGAGACAGTAGTGACAGTTGCCATTGTCCACCTGATCCAAGTCTCAGAAAAACCAAAAGCTCTTAAAGTAGCTTCCAAAAAGGACCATTCAACTCGGTCATATGCCTTACTGACATCAGTTTTAATTGCCATGTAAGTCTTCGATACCCTCCTCCTAACCTTTAAAGAGTGCATGAGTTCATTTGCAATCAGCACGTTATCAGAAACCATTCTACCAGGAATAAAGGCAGCTTGTTCTTCCGAGACAATACCGTTCAGCAGACCCTTTAGACGTAAAACCATCAGCTTGGAAATAATTTTGTAAATAACATTGCATAAGCCGATAGGTCTGTAATCTGAAAGAGTGACTGGTTTTTCTATTTTCGGGATCATGCAAATATTAGTATGATTTATACCCGGCTTCATATTTCCAGTGGCAAAAAATCTCTTCACTTCCTTAACCACATCTCCACCAACTATATCCCAACATTCTTGATAAAATCTAGCCGTGAAACCATCTGGACCAGGTCCTTTATCCGCACCAATGGAACAAACAGCCTCATAAATTTCAGAATCTGAGAAATCCTTAGTTAAAACATTGTTGATTTCGTTAGTAACTGTCTTGTTAAAGCCATTAGAAACTGCAGGATTGACCGGCTGATGATTGCTCGAATAGATCTTTTTAAAGAAAACTTCAGCATATTGACCCACTGCTTGATCTCCTCTGTATGCAAACCCAGACTCATTATGGACCATGTGGATTCTGTTACGTGAAAACCGAGTTTTTGTGCAGGCTTGATAAAACCGAGTATTACGATCTCCTTCTTTTAACCAAGAATTTCGGCTCTTCTGCTTCCAATATAACTCCTCATCTCTATAAGCATTTACAAGTTCTTTCTGAATCACAAGAATCCTTTGGCGAGAAGCACCTGATGATTGAAGAGCAGAATCAAGTTCCATCTGCAAAGATGCAATCTTCTTAGCCGAATTAAGCTTTGAATTTCTTCTGCATAAGGCCAGAGATTTCCTGCATTCCCTAATCTGATCCGTAATAGAACAGTTAATAGAGAGAGTTGGAGAGTTCCATCCTCTTATGACATAGTCTTTGAAGTCTTTTTGTTGTAGTAACCTCCTGTCAAAGTGGAACCTCTTATGGCGACCATTGGAAACCAAAGCAATATCAACCAAAACTGGACGGTGATCCGAACCATATAAACCTTGGAAAACAGCTTCAGAAGCTGGAAAACTCGCAAGCCATTCTGAGTTTACAGCTACCCTGTCCAAGCACTCTTTAACCGTATGGGTATATCTCTTACCAACCCATGAGAATCTGTCTCCTTTGTATCTTAAATCCTGAAGATCACAAGTGCTATATAAATTCCGGAAGTCTTTAAAACTCCATTCACCTCTTGCCTGACCTCCAATCTTTTCCTCATTTGATAAAATTTCATTAAAGTCTCCAACTAACATCCAAGGACCAGTTCGAGTAGTTCCCAATCTTTCCAGTCTTTCCCAAAGTTCATGCCGATACTGTTGAACAGGATGACCATACACACAAGACAGGAAGAACTCTAAACCATTAAACTGAACAAAGAGATCTATTAATCTTTCATCTTCATACAGACTAGACACCTGAACATCCTTCTTCCAAAACACTGCTAAACCTCCACTTCGACCAAGTGGAGGGACACAAATTATATTAAAATACCCTAAAGACACTGCAACATCCCTAACAACATCTGAAACATTCAACGTTTCTACTAGAAAGAAAATATCAGGACTGAAATTACGACACAACTTCTTCAGATACGGCTCCGACAATGATCCCTTCACTCCCCTGCAGTTCCAGGAAATTATCTTCATGGGGGAAACAATGAGGGTACCGGGCCCCCCGCGCCTCTGTCTATTCCTTGGATGAACGAGCATGAGTCCTGTGATTCATCATCACAAGCCCTTTTCTTGACCAGGCACACGTCCGCCTGACCATTTAGATTGGGAAGTTGCAGCATCTCCTCTATTTCTTGGCGTTTCCTCTTGTTGAAACCCCCACCGTCTCTTGCAGAACCTTCAAACTCATCAGACTGATCCCTTGCAATACTTTTACCCTTTGCTTTCTTGATAGCCTGTAGTCGACGATCCTCTGATGCAGGAGACACTTCTTCAGACGTCTGAATCAAACCCCCACCATCATTCACTCCACTAGCAGCTTGAGAAACGGAAGCATCAGCCTGATCAGGGATATTTTGAGACAAAGGAACCTTTCGAACAACACCACCACCTAGATTAGGATCATTTCCACCATCATCATCGTCATCATCTCCATCTGATCCTGAGAAAGCTTCTTCTCCATCCACTTGAAGAGGACATTCTCTCCTTTCATGGGTCATCATCCCACATTTCTTGCAGAAATTGCGAAGCCTTTCAAATTTGAATTGGATTATCGTGTTAACGCCGGCTTCGAATTGAAAGTTTCTTCTGAATCGTAGAGGATTGTCGATGTTCCAGAGAACACGAACCCTGACAAAATCCACACAGGTGGAATTCTCGTCGAAGTCTACCCCCACCACTTGACCAAAGAGATCTCCAATGAAAGCAATGGTTGGCCTGGACAGGAACTGCAGTGGGATTCCTCGGATCTGGATCCAGAAAGGGATGATCTTGCTCGCATCTTCAGATAGATTTGGAGCCCACCGGTGAACCGTCACCATCCAGTCCGCAAACGACCAAGGAGTGCGTCGAAGAACCAAATTCATCGTTTCCTCAGATTGAAACATGAATTGAAGTTGATTTTGCCCGATAATACGCCCAGAAGTGGTATTTTCCATACCCCAGACACGAGGCATTTGTGAAATCATAGCACAGAGGTTTTGTTTCCTTGGATTGAGAGGGATAACCACCAACGAGAATTGATTATTGGCCACCGCGTGATTGATGATTTCCGGAGGAAGAGCAATCGGTTCGTCATTGATGCCGAGATTAATGTTTTGCATTCTTTGACGGAGATTCTCACCCATTCTTTGAATTGTGAAAAGGAAGTAAGAAAAGTAGGAGATGTGGAGTTTGAGAAGATACCCGAGAGTTATTATATAGAGTTGCAGCCATGGCGGTTTCCAATCGTGACACAGAGAACACGAAACTAAAGGAAAACCGCAAGAGAACGTGCTCCAGTACCAAAGAATGGAGAACGTGGACTGCGGAAGGAAACCGGCACGATGTCGCCATGGAATAAACAGAAACATGGCCGGACACACACTCTCGAGGGTGAAAAAGTAACCGTTACAAATCGTCCTCGTAGAGAAACCGGCACAAATTGCTCCTATTGTTAAAAGGTTTTTTACTTAAGTTAAAAACTCAAAAAGGAGAAAAATAAAAAGGGATAAGGAAGGTAGATTTCCTTCTTTGCGTTTTTAGGAGGAGGAATCAGACACAACGACAAGATAGCAGGTATAATTAGAATCTGTAATTCTGTAATAAATACTTATCTAAACATTAACCACGTTTACATGCTCTTAAGCTTGTGTGATTAAATCCAACAAACAAATATTCGTCAAATGAATAATTAATTATAAAAATTTATACGACTGTATATAATATGTATCGATGTATACGCGTGCGTATAGATCCTGAGACGTATAGATCTACAGTTTTCATCTCTGGCTCGTGTTGTTTATATATCACGAGGAAAAAGGGCGATAACCGAGAAGAGAACTAGAGAGACATCACTAAATTCTACAACAGTGAAGGAGAAATAGAGAGGGGGAGAGAGATTTGTTTGAGGGAGAAAATAGGTATCGAATCTAGATATAGAGAGCTTAGGGTTTGTACGAGTTACAGAAGGAGAAGTTAGGGTTTCGTTTGCTCCCCGATTGGGTGATGAAGATGGTGGGGAAAGCGAATTCAAGGGGGAGACGATTTTGAGGCCTGAATCATGTAATGTTATTTCCCAATTTTAGGGATTTTGTTTTTAGTTATTAATTCGTTAGATTATCTCTAAGATTCCGTGTTTTATGGGTTCGATCTCCAAATAAGAGAACTGGTTACGATTCTCTATGAATTTTATTCGTGATTGATTTGATGATTTCTATGTTAACTGATTATTAATTTGAGTTTTCTTTCTGGGTCAATTAGCATATCTTCAGCTAATGTTTGGTTTAAAATTGAAAAAATGTTGTTTAGCAGCTTGATCATCTCGAAATTGTTGACAAATGTTCTGCGTTTTTGTCCATTTGCAACAGTTGGAACAGCTGGATAGGAGTCGGTTTGTGAGTCGGGCAGATTAAGTTAATTGTAGATGGTGAGAATTTAGCTAAAACCCCTCTTTTCCTTTTGTTGTATTATTTTTGTCCATGTCCTGGATGAGAAGGAGTGATCTAATTGCATATTGAGGCTTAGATCATGAAGTCGTGAAAAGCTTTTGATCGGTTAACTTCTCATTGCTGCTGTGATCTTGACACATTTTTGATGGAGAATAATCTCTGTTTCGCATTGGCGTTTCTGAGTAATTGTCTGGGTGTTATTATACACTTGATGATTGTTTTTTTTTCTTAACTGTTCCTGTCAATCCCTCTTGTGACATTTTCTATGTTATTATACCATCTGCAGGCTGATAGAAGAGTTGGTAAGCGTTCAATGGATCAGAGAGGTTTTTCAAAAGTGGACTCTGGAACATGTAATGTTTGTTCTGCTCCTTGTTCATCATGCATGCATCGTAACGTAGGTTTCACAGGATCAAAATCGGACGAATCATCAGATGAAAACGGCGGGGTAGCTGGCAGCCAGTGTTCTGTATACGAGGACCGTCTTTTGCCTTCTTTAGTGGTTAATGCTCGCAGCAGTTCAAATAACACTGCTAGTGAAGCAAGCAACCTTGTTAATCCCACCCATGATGCTCTCTCCGAGAATGCCGAAAGTAAGGAAACTATCAGACGTATTGGTATATCCGATGATTCCGGAGCTGTTGCAATGACTTCGAAGAAATCTTGTTCTGGGAGCAGGATGAAACACAATGTTTCTGCATCAGCTAATGTGTTGGATCAGAGCTCTAATTGTATAGAAGGCCAGGAAGATGGGATAATGTCGGATGATCGAACCAAAAGTTCAAATTCTGGTTATCCTAATAACAAGATAGTCAACAAGACTGATGATTCAGCTCCTGTTTCTGATCCAATTCTGGGTGGAGCTAGGAAAGATCAAGATTCCACAATGAGATCATCTAAGGTTCCTTCAAATGAAGTGAAATCACAATCTTTGCATAATCCATCATCCAACCATGAAGACAGAATCAGTTCAGAGCGGGGAAATTTCAAGGAAAAATTAGGACCACGGGGTAACAAAGACAGACAGGAACCTTCAGTTGAAGGATCTACACCTTCTGGCCAGAACGGGAAGGATGGGAAGTCAAATAAAAGCGCTTCCTTCAATAAATCAGATGAGTCGATCTCATCAGCTATGTCTGAGAGCGAGAACGATGATTCTGAAATGGTGGAACATGATGTAAGTATTGCCGTGTTGTCTCATATTAAAATCTAGTGAATACACGTACTTTTTTTTGTTATTATATATCTGCTCTTAATTTCCCGGTGGAAATTTTTTTAATGTGAAAGCATTTTCTTTTTTGTTGAATAGGTAAAAGTTTGTGATATCTGTGGAGATGCGGGTCGTGAAGATCTACTCGCTATCTGCAGCGAATGCAGTGATGGTGCAGAACACATGTAAGCGTGCTCTTCTATTCACGGGAAAGAAAATATACTAATGGCAAACTTCGATTCGGGATTTGTCCGCATTTTTGTAGTATTTTTCAATTTTTATGTCTTCCATCAATAAAAGGCAGGCCCATTTTCTGTGCTAATAATGTATTTCGTTTTACTCAGCTATTGCATGCGGGAAAGGCTCAGTGAAGTTCCTGAGGGTGATTGGCTGTGTGAAGAATGTGAGGAAGCTGAAAAACAGAAGCAAGGTAAAGCTGAGTTTTTAATCGAACATGCTATTTGGAATTCAGATTCAGATTTGCTGTTTCTTATTTTTTCTGACGAATTTGAAGTTGAAACATGCAGAAGCTAAGAGAAAGAGAGAAACTGAGGTAACCCTCAATCCACATAGCTCAGGCAAAAGGCTTGCAGATAAGTCTGAGGCAGCTCCAGATGCGAAAAGACAGGCGGTTGAGGGTTCAAGTGGGTCACCCAAGAAATCTATTCTCCCCAGAATAGGTGCGTTATCTCGAGAAACATCATTCAAGGGCTTAGACAGGTCAAGGGGAAGGCTAAATCATCAATCATCTCTCAGTGATGACACAGAAAGTGCGCGATCTACTGGTTCACAGCTTCAGCCCCCAAAAGGTAAGCTGCATAATAGGATTTCTTTCGTAAGCGCAACTCTGCCTTATCATTTTTTAGGTTGTTAAACATTACTATTTTTTTTGTCCAGGTGCATTTTTAAAATCTAGTTCCTTCAATTGTTCGAGCTCGAGAGGAAAAGTGCAACATATGGATGATATTATTATCCCAAGAAAGAAGACTGGGAAAGAATATACTTCTCTTGATATAAAGGAGGGTAGTTCTGGAAATGCAAGCAGAATGTCAAGTAGAACAACAGACGCTGGGATTTCTAGTGGAAACGACTCGCAAGCAAAATTGTTTGCGTCAAAAGAAGGCAAAAGCTCAAAGCAACTGAAAGATCGTAGTACAGAAGCTAATTTGTCAACATCCTCCACCGATCAGAAGCTTACTTCACGCAGCAATTCGTCTGCTTCATATGCAAACAATACCCGTGATTTGAAGGGTTTGCAGTCTGATGGTAAACGAGGTAGCTTGACGAAGCAAGTTAGCAATCTAAATCGAAACCGTCTAGAAAATCCGGTTGCTTCTGGTAAGATTCCTATCATTTTGTCAATAAGTTGTTTTTTCTGTTACTTGAACTTTGATAGTACTTTGTATATGTTTTAAATCATTTTAGCATATGATCTCGCTTTTTAAGATATCATGATTGAGTTCCACCCTTTGCAGGAGGTGATAATTTAAAGAATGAAAAGTCCAATGCCAGCGAGCAAAGTTCAAGTCAAGCTGACTGTAAGGATGAACTGCCATCCACTTCCTGCGCTGTTGAGGGTGTGCCAAGCAACGGTAATGTAGCTTCGCAGGATGGATTACCGCGGTCCAGAGAATTTAGAGAGGCAGGGAAGAAAAGCAAAGATGCCTTTGGTAAGCGCCAAAGATCTAGCCTGTTATCTGGTGCAAAAGGCTTACCATCATCTCAAAAGGGAGGCCAGACTGCAGAGTCTAGTGACACCTCAGGCGTTTCTGATAGTGATCTCTCTACCACAAAAAATGTTCGGGAGGATATAAATAAGGGTAATAGGTTGCGAGCAGCAGTAGATGCTGCTCTTCGTAAAAAGCCCAGCTTTGGGAAGAACAGAGTATTGGAGCAGTGTGATGTGTCTTTGGCATCTAAGGTGCATTCTAGTTCTGATAAGACTTTACGAAATCAATTGCCTTCAAAGATGCATACAAATTTATATCCTGCTCCTGACCCGTACAAACAGACAATTGCATCAAATGAGAAGCAGCTTGGACTCTCTGGTGCTGATGCGATACCTCCACGATCTGTGGAACTTGAAGTTAATATTCCCTCAGTGAAACCTGTCATCAGAGATTGGCCATTAGTATCCCCACCTGCTCTGTTGAGAAGCTCAGCCATTCCGGACCATGAGTCTATATGGCAGTAGGTTTTCTTTCCTTTTTGTGAAGAATATCTTTTTTACTTGTATTGAGGTACACCTCTTATATATGTCAATATAATGCGTATCTCAACTGGAAGTTCTTACATCATTTTTCCAGAGGAGATTTGGAGGTGCGGAAAGCTAGAAATCAGTCAGCTATGCATAGCGGAATGCAAGCACATCTATCAACTTTAGCATCACCCAAGGTTGCTGAAGTGGTGAATAAATTTCCAGTTAAGTTTAGCTTGAATGAAGTACCTCGGCTAAGTACATGGCCAGCACAATTTCAAGACATAGGTACTAAAGAAGACCATATAGCTCTTTTCTTCTTTGCTAAGGATGTTGAGAGGTAGGTTTCATACATGACTATTATAATCCACTCGCTTTCATTTTATGTTTTGGTTGACTCTAATATTTTGTTACTGACGAGAGTTTCGTTGTTGCTGGTGTGATACAGTTATGAGAGAAATTATAAGCCCCTGGTAGATTACATGATCAAGAAAGATTTAGCCCTGAAAGGAAACCTCGATAATGTCGAGCTTTTGATTTTTGCATCCAACCAGCTTCCTCCGAATTGCCAGCGTAAGAATGCACCTAAACTCTTACATTTTGTGCACATGATCATCTCGTCGATGATTTGATGTACGGAAATGTCAGTTTTATAGTAATTTCTCAGACCAAATTTTTACTTCCAAAATGGTTGGCAGACTAAAATAGTGCACCCAAAATATGCTTTATCAAACCTTGTTCCTCCTTTTTAGCTCGGCTTCCCTTTATTCAGTTTTTTACTTAGTAACGAGTAGTTGTTCACGTTGCTCGCTTGCTTAAGAATTTTAGTTGATCATTATTATCCAATCAAGGAACAGATATGACTCTTCACTCAAACTGCAATACTGTCTTGATTAGTTTCTAGAAAGTAGCACCCATGATTTAAATAATCTGTTCGGAACGTATTGCCAGTTTATTCTGTAGGAAAGTATTACTGGTTACTGATTTATTAATTGCAGGTTGGAACATGTTATATTTCCTTTGGGGTGTATTCCGAGGAAGAAAAGAGATTTGTACTACAAACCTACAAAAGAACACATCTTTGCCTCCTTCAAATGTTTTGCCGCGTGGTCAAGACCCAATTGACTTGTGCCAAACGAGTTCTCCTTCCAGGCATTTGGAGAAAGCGTCTTCTTTACGTGAGAGCTCACACAACATAAATGAAACTCAAAATCAGACAGATGTATCTAGCCATGAGAATCCAAGTGATAGAGGATCATCTATCGAGCAATCATCGAGCGCAAAGGTGGGTTGTTAATCCTTTGAGTAAATCGTAAATGCTTGGTCTCTATCTATGTGAGCTCTTATAGTAGGGCATTCTTCATCTGTTAATTTAATCGTGTACAGGAGGAAATTGCTCGTAAAGAGGACGAACCAGATGCGAATCATATTTCTTGTCAAGCTAATGGATCAAGTTCTGGAGATAGTCTAGTGAAGAAGGTTCAGCAAACTGAAGAGCAAGAATTAGGTGGTAGAAAGAACCTGCCTTTGACTGTCACGGGCTCAGAGATACCGCCCAGTGGCCAAGACAATCCTCTAGAGAAAGATCTCAACTGTAGTAGCCAGGCTGGTCACAGGAAGCGTCCAGTTTGGGAACTGACAAGACCCGGCATTGATAACTCCTCTGCCATGAACCAGAAAATGGAGCTCAATAAGGAAGTTTTGTTCGAAGGATCTCCGAATAAGAAGCCCAAGACGGAAGACGAAAGCAGCAGCGTTTCCCGGGATACATTTGGTAAAGATTGCGGGATCATGAAGAAGAGCCCCAAAGTGGTGTTCCCTTTGGACTTGAATGCCGAAAGAGAAGACATTGAAGTAGTCGATGATCTCATTCCACTTGGCAATAACAATGACGACAACAGCAACAAGAGGCGGTTAAGCGGTACAGTCCCGAATCTGGAGCTGGCATTAGGAGCTGAAGAAACAAGTCAAGACACTATGGGACTATTGCCTTTCTTAGCCGGAAGTACCATCAACACTGGTGAACAAAGTAGTCATAGCATGAAAAAAGAAAAAGAAGAAAAAGAGAAAGAAGAAGATGATGACGCTGCTTCTCTCTCGCTATCACTCTCGTTTCCAGGCGAGGAGAGGAAGAATGTGAATGCTCCATTGTTTCTGTTCAGAGACCTTCCTAGATAAAAAGTTATCGTAAGTTTATTTCATTAAAAGTGTGTCCTTAGCTTCGTCTTTTTTTTGGTTGGTGAAGACTACCGAGATAAAATCACAGGTCTGTATATATATAAATGGTGATGGGAAGAAATGATACCGAATGTTTTTTTTTATTATGATTGGTTGAAATCTATAGAATAACAAAAGAGTATTCTGTATCCCTCATTAGGATGTTAAGAGTTCATGCGTTACAAAAACTACGAAATGCACTGAAATCTAAAACGACTAAAATTTAGTAATCAAGAGAAGTTACTGAATAGGTGTACGTGTCAAATTTCTGGACGCAGGGTAAGGGTAATTCAGTAATTTCAAATATATGTAGAAGATATCCAAAATGTGTCAGCAGATTCTTCTTCCTGTGTGTTCCTCAGATCTCTTCGTTTACATTTCCAATGGCGTCCTGTGTTGCTCCTCTTTCTCTCTCTGGTAATGGTTTACGTTTCCCCATGATTATAGAGCCCGAATTTTATCGTTCTTTGAGATTCCCGATTAGTAGTAGGAGGAGAAGATTTCTCCGATTGTGCTTTTGATTTGTCCTTCCTTTCCGGTGGTTTTCTTTAGCGGTGTGAAGGAAGTTCTTAGATGATCTTGGATCGTTTCTTTACTGCAAATTAGCTAGGATTCTCAGTTAAGCAAACGAAATTGAAGATCATAACATTTTGTTGTCTGCGAAAAAATAAAAATAAAGGGCTAAACAATTATCAACATGTAGAACTGTGTAATTTGCATTTTGATCTGTGAGAAGTTTTAAGAGATTCGTAGTAGAAAAAAGCAGCAAGCTTCTTAATTCAGGTTCTTGAATCTGGTTGCCACAGGTGGGTCTCAATCTCACAATGTGAAACCAAATGGATTGTCTACCACGAAGCTCAGTTCGTTCTGTAAAACCTCTGCATTGACAATTCAGAAGAGATCAAACCGGATTCACAAGCTTTCGGTTTCTGCAGAGTATCGGTAAGTATGTATGTCGCTATATCGTTTTCCTTTGTCGTGTGAATTGACTTAGAAATCATAAAGAAAGAAACTTGTTGAAACGTAATGATTTTGCAGGGAAGGGAGTAGGAGAGGAAGCAGTGGCGATTTCGTAGCTGGTTTTCTTCTAGGAGGCGCCGTGTTTGGCGCCGTGGCGTATATCTTTGCTCCACAGGTAACTTATCTTAGTGTTGTCTTTTGTTCTTTTGGAACCTTAATGGGGGAAACTAGATCTTGTTCAACGATTTTGGGTTATGTTCTATTGGAAATGATGAGTTGATTTGGGTTTTTGTTCTCATGACTGTTTCATTGGTATTTGGTTTGGTTGTTGGAGGTTTTGATGATCTTTATATCATTCTCATGCGATCCAAGCTGAAGATTTTTGTCTGTTTTTCTTCTTGTGTTCTGGTGCTTCAGATCAGAAGATCGATTATGAGTGAGGAGGATGAGTATGGTTTCAAGAAGCCGCAACAACCAACGTACTACGATGAAGGTTTAGAGAAAACAAGAGAGACACTGAATGAGAAAATCGGACAACTTAATTCAGCGATTGACAATGTTTCTTCGCGTTTAAGAGGCCGAGCAAAGAACAGCTCTTCTTCCAATGTACCGGTCGAAACTGACCCTGAAGTTGAAGCTACCACTTGAAGAAATATATATATTTTTCTTCTTCTCTGTTTTTTCATTTGTAACCAGAGTTGAAAACAATTCCATAAGGTTTGGTTTGGTTTTCTTGTTGCTTTTGTGATCAGTCCTCTGTAGAACTCTTGCAAAGTGAATAATACAGTCTTTTGTCTTTAGTCTTTACTGAATATTAATTCTCATTTGGTTTGATTCAAGTCATTCAACTAAGCATGAAGACATATGTGCATCTTTATAAAGAAAGAAAGTAAAGTAAGATTCTGAGTTTTCACAAACTGGATATAGGATAAGATGTGAAATTATCCGAAAAATACCACAAAAAAAAATCTAAAAGAAAAATGAAATAAACGACAGGAGAGATAGATAAACATTGGCCGGTGGCCTCGTCACAAATCCAAACTATCACCGAAAAACTCAAAAAAAAGCCAAAAGCCTTTCTTCTTCCGTTTCCCAACACAAAAATACTCAGAGAGCAATCCACAAGATTCGATTCAAAATTTTCCGTTATTTTTTCCTTCTCAAAACAGTTTCGGTTTTCGAGTTTGTTGAATCGGAGAGGAGACACCTGATATTCCCCCTTCACTTTAGGGTTTTGGGTTTCTATTTGATGATGTGCGAGGAGATTCTTCCTCTGTTCGTGTCTTTGTCAGATGGAAGACCATGATAAGTCTCCTCCTCCCAAGGTGAAATTATGGACCTTTTGAAGTTTACAAATTTTCCTGGGAAAATGCATGAGGTCGATGGAGATTACGTTGGTTTCCGAGATATCTGGTTTTGATTTGAGTTGAATATGAAGATCTGATACTGTTTTGTTGAGTATTGTTCTTTTAGATTCAAGGATTATTGGTTTTCTTTTAATGAATTCTTAGTTGTAAAAGTTGTGAACTTTCTTCGTTTGCATGTTTTCTTTACATTTTACGAATGCTCAACTGATATGGAACTCATAACTTTATCTTTCTTTCATTTATTGGTTTGAAGGATTACTATAAGATTCTAGAAGTTGATTACGACGCAACTGAGGAATTGATCAGACTGAATTATCGGAAGCTCGCATTGGTTTGTGAACTCGAAAACCCCTCTTGAATATCTGTTAAAATGTCGTTATTGAATTTTGGTGTTTCTTGATTGAAAGAAAAATGAGTTTATGGTGAGAATGTTTTTGTGTTTCCATCTACAGAAGTGGCATCCTGATAAGCACAAAGGGGATAGTTCAGCTACAGAAAGATTTCAAGAGATAAATGAGGCATATAACGGTAAGTCGTTTGCTCAGTCGGTTTTTCTGCATCTGAACATGATAATAGTAATCCATTTTAGTCCCCTAGGTAGTGGCAAGCTTCAGTGACTGGTATATGCTTTGTTTCATTGGTCTACGAATAGATTAGTTCACGACGGAGAGAAGAGAAGGAAAGAAGAAAACTTGGGAAAAAAAGGGAAAATCTAGAAATCAGATAAGACGTTTTAGGTAGAGGAGGAAGAAACAAAGTTTAGCAATGTGAGAACAAATTACGAATGCCTTCAGCTTTATGCATTTAGCTCCTTGACCTTTATCGTTCTGTTTAAGTATTGTTCTGTTTAAGTATTGATACAAATCTATTTAGTTTCAATCCTCACATGATCTTACATTCTCTCTCCATATTCTTATTTCTATAAGATTTCACAGCCTTTTTTGTGGTCTGCGGCAACTTTAACTATAGCTTGAGCCTTCTTTGTCTCCTTTACTCTCTCTTATGTTTCTATCGACACTTGAGAATTCAACTGAGAACAATGCTCTCTCGCTCTCTCGCCATGCTTAATGTTTACATAGCTTCTTCTTTCTCTTTGGCAGTGCTGATGGACCCTGCTACACGTTTTGAGTATGATTTAACCGGAATTTATGAGATCCACAAGTATACTTTAAGGGTGTGTAACATTTATTTTTTGTGATTCATAATTTTTTGTTTCTTTGTATCGAGGTTTTGCTGACATTTTCAGATATCCCAATGCTTTCTTTTACATAGGAATATCTCGCCAGATTTAAGGGAATGATTCTCACTTGCAATGGACTCGGCATCAGCCAATCCTCATCACCATGGTAACCTTTCTAGATCGTCAGTTTTGTTTCTCTACAATGTCATATTCTTATATTTTATATCATGAAACAGTATATATGTCTGAGACTTTTGACTGCAGGACACATCAATTGTCTGAGACCACCAACAAATCAACAGACTAGCAAGGTTGGTTTCTTTTCTACTCTATTTTTGGCAAAACTCAATTTCTTGAATCCATTTCTGAATCACAAAAAAAAATCTCATTGTCTTCACAGAATGCTGTATGAACTGAAAGCAGAAGGTAGAGCAGAGCTGTAAAACTATGTGAAGATTCTCACACACTTTCCCGTCTCATTGCCTTTTAACAAGGTGTGTTTGTGCTGTACAAAACTGGAGCCGTAGCGCGAAGCATTAATGTTATATTCAAATGCTTTAATTAGATGTTGTATTGTTTCTGTATCGATGTAAAATCAAAGAAGCGTATATGGTCTCTGGTCTCTATTCATACATTCACACATTGGTGATGATTCAGATCTTTTACTACTACTCATCATTCATTGTATTTCAGACTTGAGACATGAAAGTGAATAATACAATCTATGGATTGATGCATTTATCTCGGAGTATATACAACGCTACATAAAGTAAAATGGTTCTCTTACAACACTATCTGGAAGCTTGAATCAAGTGAAACCTGAGAATTGGTACAGGAACTTTGTAAGAGTACAGACAAAAAAATTGATACAGAAGCTTTGTAAAAGAATACATAAAACAATGGATTGGTATACAGTATAAGAAAGAATGTACAATTTTAAACTGAGATAAGTCAGGGACTTGCGAGCATGGCTTCAAATGATATAATTCAGCTCTTCTCAAAGAATCCCAACTTGGTTTTGAAAGACCTGAGTTTTCCATTTCAAGGGCACACATCATCTAGGAGAGAAACAGGATACATATATGATGCGAGCTTCGACGCTGTAATGTCTATTAGTAAATCCCCTGGGATACGATATGCAGCTTACGCGCTGATATTCATGATCTCTATGTACTCTCCTAATAAATATGAACATGTGTTAGCTCATCTCATAGTATCCCAAGCTCGGCTTTGAAAGATCTGAGTTGATCTTTCCAGGGGCAAGATTCTCATGGTAAGGAGCCTGACCCGGAAATAAATATCTTGCAAGCTCCCCTGTGATACTTAAGCTGATGCATTCAGTCCTAACTAGCTTCACTATACATTGGGTTCATTTGGTAAAATCCCATCATCTTTCATTTTTCTAAACAGTGCATCCGCTTCACGTCGTAGACCTTTCTTGTACAATCCTAACATCATTGTAGTGTATGTCCAAATATCAGGCACAAGTCCTTTGAGGTTGAGGCTACAATATAAATCCCAAGCATATGCCACCTCACCAGCCTTACACATCCCGCGGATGATGATATTGTATGTAACTATATCAGCATCCATTCCACTCTTTTGCATATCCTCCAATATCACCAATGCTTTCTCTATCTTCCCATTATCGCATAGACCATGTAACAAAACGTTGTATGTGATAATATTAGGAAGAACACCACAAACTACCATCCGTTTGAAGATTTCTTCGGCAACATTAAGCTTACCCGCTCTGCAATAACCCTGAATAAGAATTGTGTATGTGACTGTATTTCTAACCACTCCTCTCTGAGGCATCTCGCAGAAGAGTTTCATCCCGTGCTCTACCTTCCTAGACTTGCAATACCCATTAATGAGAATGCTATACGTTACTACATCAGGGAAGCAACGTTTGCTAACCATGAAATCGAACATGTGCTCTGCTTCATCTAGACGACTGTACATGCAAAGCCCGTTGATGAGTAAAGTGTAAGTGACAATATCAGGATCCAGAGATCTTCGGATCATCTCCTCGTACAATTCTTCAGCCTCTAAAAGATTTCCTTCTTTTACACAAGCATCGATCAATGCATTGAAAGTAAATACATCAGGGTTGATTTCCCTCTTGCTCATATACCTTACCATTCGTGTAGCATCGCTCCATCTACCGGAATTACAGAGACCAGATACGAGAGAGTTGTAGGTAACAACGTCCGGTCTGATTCCATCTTGTTCCATTTGACTCAAAAGATCCAAAGCGTTATTCACCTGATTGTTTTTGCAGAGACCATCAATGATTGTGTTGTAGATTACAACATTGGGTTCATATCCCATTTCCACCATTCGATCGAACATAGACAAAGCATCGTAAATCCTATCCCTGCGACAGTATCCATTGAGCAGTGAACCAAACGTGACTATGCTGGGTTTATGACCAAGTTTCATCATTTTCCCCAGAAACGATAACGCAAGAGAGAATCGAGAGCATCTACAGAAGCAGTTCAACAAAATATTGCAGGTATAGAGGTTGTGAGGAATGCCCAACATTTGCATCTGCTCCCAGAGATAGATCACAACATCATACTTCTTCATCTTGGAAATAGCACTCAATAATCTACTGAAATCGGCAATTGAAGGAAGAGGACGACACTGAACCATGTGAAAGAAGAGCTCAAGCGAATCATCTAATTTCATATAGCGAAGCCCATTTCTCAATATCTCTCGGTAATCACTGCCACCACCAGAATAAGCTCGTCGTCTCGAGAAACAGAAATCGCAAATGCTAGACGACGGAGAAGTACCGGGATTACCTTTCTCCAGAAGATTCCGATGAAGAAACGACTTCGCTTTTGAAGAAATCGATCTCCTCATGCTTCTTCAGCTTGAGTTTCGTTTCCCAAATTTCTGAGTCTCAGGAATGGAGCTATTGTTGAGAGAGACTGAGGACCGAGGAGAAGTGTTAAAACCTTAACCGGTTAAGAATTCAGCGGATTTTTTTTTTTATTGGATTTTTCGTTTTACTAAATGAACCAGAGTTTTTAAACCAAACCGAATCAGAATTAATCGGTTATCTCTGTTCTATTTTCATATTCTTCGCCCGTTGTTTTTCATTTTTGAAAGTTACATGATACATTAACAAAATCAAAGTTGTTGTGCCTCCTACCACTACAACTGAAGATTAAAGATTACCAATCACAACAACTAAATTTTAAGTTGGATGGAATGTTATATATGTAGAAATCCAGTGCCGTGCCAACATATTTAGTGGCCTAAAACAATTTAGAAAATTATGGCCTTTTATAAGTATATAATTTTTACAAATCATAGAACTTGAAGATAAATCGAACTGTAAAATTGATATCATTAAAATGTAAAAAACTATATATAAAATAAATATATAAGATATTTTAATGAGTTTATCATTTAAAAATATATTAAAGTACCAAAACTCTATAAAAACATATTAAAAAAATGGTAGAATAACAAAAATATGTGGATGAATAAAATTAAGTTTATTAGATTTATAGTAAAAAAATGACAGATAAAGTATGATTTGAAAGTAAAAATTACTATTACAAAACTTGAACTCGTGAACACAAAGTCTTTTAAAAATTTTATCAACAAACATTTCACTAATTTAACTAATATTGTTATTGATATATGGCCTAAAAACTAAAATTATAAATGTGGTCTAAGGCCACCAATGCCTTTTTTCTACTAAGGGAGGCACGACTCTGTGTAGAATATCGAAAGAACAATATACATGAAAGTTTCACTTTCATCAAAGCTAATGTAAAGTTTACTACGAGTCATTAGCAAGCGTCTACATTTGTTCAACTTCGACAGAAAAGCCACATTTGCAGCGTTTGGTTTTCACAGAGGTTTCCTCATCAAAGGTTTCTTCCTCATCAAGAAACACATGTTCATGTTCAGGTCCATTTTCATGTTCATGTTCATGTTCATGAGACTTTCTTCCTCGTGACCTTCCTCTCTTGACCCCTCCCTGCTTTTCAGGTGATTTCACATTCTTCCCCTTAGCGACCGGCTCTGATTTCGTTTCCAAACTCCTCGTTTCGACATCCTTTGAGTTATTGGCGTAACGGTTTTTCAATCTTTCACGGGTTAAGATAGACGAAAGAAGCTGATACCATCTCGAAGCTGCTTGTGCTTCATTTTGTCTTCTCTCCTCTTCTTCTCTCTTTTCTTGTTCTTCTGCATATGCCTATAACCGAAACAAAAAAAAGCGAGATAAATCCAAAGATCAATCCATATTCAAACCATAAACTTCTGTGTTTCAGATTGTAAGAAATGGAGCTGTACCTCGAGGATTGTATCTTTGAACTCGGTACAGACCACAATTCCTTCAAAAACAGGAGTAGCACGTCCACTTTTGTACTCGAAACCAACCATTGCAGGTGCATAATCTATTCCAAATCTCTTAGCGACAGAAAATATTCGAGGAAACCTTAAGTGGACTGTTCCAGGTGGAAGGCATTTCTCAGACCAGACATCAACTTGACCACGCTCGTTCTGAAACCCCATACGCACATGAAAAGGATTTTACACTATTTCGGAATACAAAACCATTGAAGCGACTAACTAAAACAGAGACGTAGGTCCTTTTACCTTAGGCACAATTCCATTAACAGCATGAGGGAGACACAATGGTTCCATTTGCCACTTTCCGTATAGTTCCATGCACCAAGAACCATCTTCACTGTCCTTATTCCCATCTCCAAAATCTTTTACCTTTTTCAACTTCGAGTTACGCTTAAGAATCTACGGTAAAAGTGGACTTCAAGAGTTGATTATCAAACCGGAAAAAAAAGTGGGAATGAATAAAGATAACCATCAGGGAAAGAAAAGAACACCGACACCTTTAAGGGAGCTTCATTTGCCTTCAGTTGTAGCCCATCACGAAGCCATCTTTCTTTTGTTTTAAGAGTCTGCACACAGGTTCGAGGATAAACGGAATGACCAGAGCAAAATCCCAGAACCGGACCTTTTGGGTGAAGTATCTGGTTCTTGTGAAGCCATTTCTCAATAGCATAGAGTTCGTGACTTTTATAAGCCTGCAAAATTATTAAAAGGTCTCAGAAGGTTTAAGTGAAGCTTAAACTTCTTTTTCAGGTTACATCACATCTACCTGCTGGTTAGTGGGAAGAGGCTCAGTAAGTGCCCGAGTAGCTAACTCCATATCTTCAAGAGCACTCCTTCTACCAAAGGACGAGCTACTTGAGGAAGCTTTGTTGGCAACAGGGATTAGGCTTGTGGCTGACTCTAGTTCTCTTAACGGTGCTAATACCATATCCCACCACAGTGAACTCACCCGTTTGGATGAAATCGTGTGCCATTTTGTACAGTACCTGGGGATGAAAAGTGTCAAAGGAACTATATGTAAAGACATATCTAGAAATCGAAAAAATAAAAAGATCGTCCAATAAAGTAATTTGAAATACAGGCAATAAAAAACCTGCGAGTAACATCTTTGGCTCCACCACCAGCGAAGGCGACAACATATCTAAGTAAGCTTTTGCACGCAGCAGCTCCAGCTTCTACAGTTTGCTCTGCATCTAAAATTCCATTGACAGCATCCACATGGACCCATTTCCCATCCATGTTTTCCCCACTGCAATACACCTCAGCCCAACAAAGAGGAGAATCCACTTTCTTCGAACCGATAGCTGTGGATATTACTTGGTCAGAAACTGACAAGCCTTTATTTGTTTTTGTTATTTCTCGACTCTTCTTTTCCTCATTCACTTTAGAGCTCTGTTGGTTGTCTGCAGTTGCAGTTGCAGCCAGAGCCATGGCTAATTGCATCTCGAACTCAACATCTCCTTTCCTCCTTGTTCCGTCAGATTTGCTGGACATTCGTGCTTCACAAGATGAGTTGACCGTATTACCTTGCGACTGATTAGAGCCCAGGGGGTTCCCATGCTGAGACTCAGAGGTCTCACAGAGACCCTTATTCTCAACATGGGAAGAAGATTTACTTGGGTATGACGAGATGACTTGCTGTTTCGGCACCATAAGAGTTGAGCTCCTGAATATCCCATGCTTCATTTTAGCTCTGTTTTGACCTGAAGATTCATCCTTATCGGCCCCTGGTTTTAAGGATGCAACATCAAGAATAGACACAAACCTGTGAAACTCAAATTAGTTCAGAAAACTCGGAACAAGCTTGGCATACTAAGCCATAGATGCTTCAGAAATACGGTACTGCAAATAACTATCTGACAAAGATTAATATTGAAAACAGAACATCAAATGACAACGAATATTATGGAGCTAATTATCAAGCCAAATAGGACTCGATATTCCCCATGATTCAGAAAGCTCACTAAACGTGCAAGAATAAAGCCACTTTAGACACGGCGTCGTTGATATACAGCAAAAAGCAGATACAAAACAAGAACAGAAACCAAATATGAATACTCTCTTGTGGCAAAATTAACAAGTATCACATACCGAGTTGTGAGCTTTAATGCCCTAAACAAAGCAACGGCCAGTGCTCCAAGCTGCGAAAATGACCCCATAAGTTTCTTATATGATAGCACTAATTTCCTAAAAGGCGGATTAACTTTGGAAAAAACCAAACAGAGTAATCTTCACATAGAGAGATTCAAGGTACTTCGGAAAAAGGAAACCAACTTATTCGAATATTTTCTATCCCCAGAGAATGAAACAAAATATCTGAAAAGTGATGCTTCAACAACACAAGCAACCATAATATAAATAGGTTAATCGTCATACATCTGATCACAAAGTTACCTCTTCAGACGTGCCTCTACGTGATTCAAGAGCAAATGCTAGAGAAGTACGAAAAGATTTCTCAGAGCTGGGAGTACACCTAACAGAAAAGTTTCCACGAACCTACATTTGAGCCAGGAAAAGTTGCTCAATTTTCCATCAGAAACATATGAAAAGCTACAGAGCACTAACGCCATACCCAACGAAGAAGAGGGGCTATATCCCTAACAGTAACATTCTCGAGATTTGATACTTTTGCCAAGTATGATGGTAGAAGTGAAAGCAAGGAAGCCTGCGCATCATATTTAACAGTTAACCAAAATTAGCACAGGTTGCAACATAAGCACGTATTTAGAAATATATAAGTTTAAAGCAAAAGCTAATACCGCTGTAATAAGGGATACAATTTATCTACCTGAATCAATGGATCATTACAAGCGTTGTCAACTATCCTCCCTCTTGCAAGCAGACAGAGTAAGTGAACCTTGTGGACAAGTTCCGCTCGTTCCTTAACGAGAAATAACACAATTTTCTTAAGTAGCCATTCATTTTCGAAGGTTAAACAGAAGTAACCATATATCACAGTATACCTTGTCCTCTGCTGTTGGGCGGTAAACATTCTTCTGCCTCTTAGTATCAGGCACATCGTCAAATTCTATGGTTAAGTCTCGGGTGTCATCAATGTACGCATCAATCGTATTACCAACACTAGGAATCGGACAGTCTTCCCAGTCTGAATCATTCATTTCATCATCATCACAACCTGCCCTTTTACCACATTCCCTGTCCTCTAGAACGTTATCAGTTAATTTTTCCTTGAAGGCTTGCTTCCCCTTCTCATGTTCGCCTTTATCCCCCTGCAATGATATAAAATTCAAATTATTTTACACTCCTAGAAAACAGAGGAACTAGATAAGTCAAGATTCACCACTTTCCGCATAAAAATTTTCCGCACAGGACAAGCAAAAAATGCTTCTACAGCCATTATGTAGATCATGAAAATTAATTATTGGTCAGTACTACAGACTTCTCAATCTTCAAGTAAACCTAGCCAGCGATCGATAGCAATCGCTGCTCCTCACATCTAAAGTACATCTAGTAAACATATTGAAATCAGCACAAAAATAATGTTCTTTGCATGAAACTGAAACTAACCTCTGTGGAAGTGGAATCACAGTTCTGTGCACTATCATCTCGTTTGTTCTTGCCTCGAGAGCCACGAGCTCTGCTTCTGTCTAGAACTTTGTTCACTGCTTCTCTAGAGGCTGCTGCAAGTCTACCATTCTTACTTTCGCTTCTAGGCTTCATCTTGCTCTTCTCAATAAAACCTTAAGCATTAAAACAAAAATTTAAAAAAAAAAAAAAAGCGAAAGACAATTGTTACCAAAACAAATCATCGTAATTCTCTGCAACTCTTCATCATTGATAAAACTAACAATTATTTAATTCCCTTTCCGATGGTAAATTTCTGTTCTTGCATAGGTCTCCAGACTACATTGCCTATCCCAGAGAGACAGTTCGAAAGAAGAAAAAAAAAACTAAAACTTCTCAATTGTTCTATCCGGAATCACATGCCGCCATTACCATGAAACATCGCATATATATATAACTAACAACTTCAAAGCAAGCAAGGATTTTTCTCTTCCTCGAGTTTCTCAGGAAATAACGCAGGGAAATACAAACTCAAAGTCAAAAGATACTCACCCACGAATCGATCACACGGCTCCGCCACTCACGGTCGTCGGAGAAACAGAATGTTGGACGGGAACGAAGGAATTTAATTTCACGCGCCAAATCTTCTCGCGCGGTTAACAACGACCGACGTACGGAAAAACCCTCTCCGAGAAACGCTACAAATCTCGACGTCGAGACTCGAGATAGTGGGGACGTTAATTTGACCGCAAGGGTCAGAGATGTCTTAAGCAGGGACCCGCCAAATCATTAAACGGCCAAGATATTGCCACGTCACTTCTCTTTCTTTTTTGACCGTCTTTCATAATTTACACAGTATATTGGGATTAAAAAATAATAATTGGTTTCTCTTTCTGCTTTTTGTCAGACAACAAAAACCAAACGCCACCACCTGCACTTCTTTCACGATTCGAATTCGCGACTGCGTTTACAAAGGTACAAACAGTTATTTCAATATATAGAGATGTAGATAAATATGGTTTATACAATTACACATAACAATCTATGTGTGCGTCTCTCTCTAATCTGAGCAAAACTGAAGCGTCTTTGATAAAGTAAACTAAAAAACATGTTTTTTCCTCCTACAAAGCTAAAGAAAGACATGAGATTTGATCCAATAAGATGATAAAACCAAAAGACGTGAGCTTTGTCAACCCGTCATTCCTGGGAAGAGCTGCGAAATCTTGTTGAACACATCCATTACCTGCAATCAAATAAAAACCACCAAGTTCATACAAAAGTGATTGCCTTGAGATGTTTTCACTGCAGAACTAAGTAGCAGAAGACTGAGCTGTGTTTACCTCTTTGTCGTTTTGGTACTTCATGATGTTCATTGGATTCTCCGAACACTGCAACAACAACAACAATCAAATTGAGTGAGATCAAATCCAAAGAAAAATAATATTCTTTATTCAAGCTAATTCAAAACGCACTTCCATTAACGCTGCTTGGACTCTAGGATTCTGGAATGCCATTGCAACATCAGGGTTCTCCATAATCTTAGAGATGACTTCTTCTGGAGTCAGTCCTATTTGATCTGAAATTATCGTCTCAATCCATCAATACTGAGCTTATGTCACAACCAATAATAGTATAAACTTTGTAGCGATTGAGATTTTTTTTTTTATGTTTTCTCTTTGAAGGATTATTTGCTTACCGAATTGCTGCTTCACTTCAGGACTATTCAGGTCAAAATTCTTTAAGGTATCCATCATTCTCTTGTCCCATTCACCACTCCCACTCATATTATTCCTATATCCATGAAAAATAAAATAAAAAGGTAAATCTAAATATATAGTTTAGTGATTCTTAAAAGCAATGGAAAGAAATAAATTTGTAAATGGAACTTACAACATGTCTTGTAGCTGTTGACGGTAATGAGGATTTTTAAGCATCCCTACAAAATTCCAATCCATAGAAAGTGGATAAGAAAAATATCAACTGTGTCTTAAATCAATTTTGGATCAACCTCTAATGCGTTGATGATATATTTTATGGATCCCCTAATATAGCTAGTTCAAGGTTTCCATTCAAAAATGGCCAACGGTTAAACCGTCAGAAGCAATACGAACAACAAAGATAATAATAACAAGATTAAACATAAACAGACTTACATTTGAAAGTTTCTGGGTTCCTCATCTCCTCAGGCAAATGTCTGAATTCATATATGCAATGAGACCAAATTTCCACTTAGCAAACAGTTATGGAGATAAATTTAAGAGAAGCATCGAAACATAACATGGTAGGGAAGATTAATTACGGGTAAACCATCTTCTGAACTGTGGGATCTTCCATCATTTTCTCTAAAGCTTCTACAGACAAACCAGGCCCTCCTTTCCCAGCGCCTGTATAAACAATGGACAGACTAAGAATTCAATTTAAGAACTTAGAAAAGAAAGAGAGGGAACAAACACAAATCAGACGAGAAAAAATCATCAGAAATGAGATATCCAAATCGAGCTAGGCTAATACGAAGAAACAACCTTCCGTTCTGTTCATTCCTCTTTATCACCAATTTAAATATTATCCTTTATTTCTAATTGTTGGCATAGGCTATAATATAAAACGAAACTATCTAGCCTTAATCATGAATCAAGCCCCGTGCACTGCAGGTGACAACTGCTACTCATTAACTCACCCAAAGATTGAAAAACTTCTGAAGCAGTGGCACCATTCGCCGGAGCAGCTCCATTTTGCATAACCTTTACCCAAAGATCAAATGAGAGAGCAAAGAAACCTCCTAGGTTAGCCAAATTAGGTCAGTTTTCAAAATCACCACTTGGTGTGCTGTGCAGATACATAAGAAAAAGTAACTTACATCCTCAAATAAGCGAGCTTCTTTGGGAGCACTAGTTTCAGAGACTTCTGCATAGTTGCTAAATGGACTTTCCTTTGTGGTTTCCTCAGGGGAAACATCTTCAAAGGCTGTATCAAAAGTTAAATCAACTTCCAAATTAGAATCTTAAAAAATGAGAAACCAAGAGGCTTAAAACTTGAGGATACAAGAGGAGATTGATTTCTGATAGAAACTACCGTAATTCTTTTCTTCTTTCTTCGCTTTATTTTCCTCTAGAACAACACTTGGCTTATCCACTTCTGTTTTCTTTGCAGGCGTAGGTTGCGGCTTAGCCGAAGGAGGTGTATCTACTTTTGTTGCTGTCACATCAACAGTAGCACCTGAAGATTGAGATTGGGATTGGAACGGCGAGGAAGTAGGACTTGTTTGAGGAGGAAATGGAAACGGAAAAGGTGATGCTGATCCTGCCGGGAATCCAGGATTATTAAACTGGCTGTTTTGCGTATTCATCTGGTTCATCATTGTCTTCATAGCTGTTTGCATTGCATATTTCTGAAAGCAAGGCAAAAATGTCCAGAGAGAGCAACAGCCAGTTAGAGAATACTGAGAGAAATCATTTTGAACTTGAGAAATATATTGCAATCAAATAGTTACGAAACTTATTATAGGTGTACATACCTAAGTTGCATCACTAAAACCTTAACGTTATGTAGGTTATCTCAAATTTCCGTCTATGAATCAAGTGACTAACTAAAATAAAAGAGAAGCAAATATTTACATACTTGAATTTATGGTTCAAAGAAGTCTGAGCAAACAGTTCACATTGTTAAGATAGCCAATCTAGTGAATACTATTCCAGAAACATAGGGCCTTAAACACTAGAGAGTAGAGACAACATGAAGCATAATTTGTTGTTCTGTAAACGACTAGAGAGCAAAATTCCCATAAAACCATAGTGCCTAGCAAATGGTACATTGGTCAAGAAGAAGATAAAAGCACTCACCTTTAAACTTGAAGTTACCTGTAAATCCCATCAGAAGAAAAGAAAATCAGGTACTTATCGATAATGAAGCAAGAAAGAATATGCATAGAGGAAATACTCACCCATGAGAACAAAGCTGATAGCCCAACACCAACACCAATCCAGAAAAGTGGTGATCCTCTACATAGAAGCCGATAAGTAAAAAACATAAGAAATACTTTAAACTAGAAGCACATTGCCGTAAAAAAAAAAAAGCTTCAACCAGGAAGATGGTTGAAAATTTACATGGTTGATGAAGATGGTGGTGGCACTGCTGCATTAGGGTACGCAACAGAAGTTGTCTGTTGATCACGATTCGAGGAAAAAATACTTGCAAAATCTCTGCTTCTGTGTTTCACAACCACTGAAAATGAACAGAAGATAAATTTAACAATTAGTGGCTTTTACAGGAATTCAAATCCACAATTGTGGTTTCAAAGAGCTAAAGAAATTCATAAGCTTTGACTTTCAATTATACGAATAAAAGTGAGAATTCCCTGAAATTTTCGCATTCTCCATCACAAATCGAGTGGAAGTGCAAAACTAACCAATTTCTCCAGCGTTCTCCGGACGCGAAGAGTGAGATTGAGATTTCGCCGAGGCAGAGATTTTTGAGCAACGGAAGACAACTTTAGGAGTCCGACGCGAAAACCCTACTGGGTTTTTAAGCGAGGAGGTGAAATTGCATCCGATTAACAGCTTGGGAGAAGAAGCTGAACAAGAAACCAGGGTTAGGTTCTCCATATTAATTGTCTCTTTGCAATAAAGAAACAGAAGACCCTAAAACAATTCTGGTGGAGAAGAAGAAAGATATGATGAGGAAGAAGAAGCAGCAGAAGAAATGGAGAAGAGACTCTTTGGTCTAAAGCTACTGTATCCTTCAAGCACGAGGTTTGAGTTAGTAGCGGTCTTGAATCCACTGCAACGAAGTGCACTTAAACCTTATAAGGATTTTACAGGTGGCGAGAACTTGACCGTCAAGATCGTTAAATTTGATCTATAATCCAAGGGTGCGAAAAACTCCTTTCTGATAATTCCAAAAGTCACCCCTTGACCTTCGCTTTAGTTACATTATAGCCCTGCTCTATTTTAAGGAACATTTACCCCCCTTTTTGGTTATAACTTATAAGTTATTTGTCAGGATTAACATTTTAAGTTAAAAAAGTGTGAGTTATATGTACGTAGACTACATACTCAATTAGTTCAATATCACATTATATAAGGGAAGGCCATAGATAGTCAGGAGCATGATGAGTACATAGTTCAGAGTTGTGAGGAAGTTTCATCAACATGTGGAGAAGCGCCTTGTGGGCTGTCAGATGCGAAGACGAGTGCAATGGAAGCTAAAGAATGTGCAACACTATGAGAAATCTACTTATAGCTCTTCTTGTCTGTGTCATTTTCATAGCCGTATAAGTAGTAGGAAGAAGCAAGGCCCAAATAGTCCAGTAGCTCTCACAGACGCAGCTCATCTGTTATCTGATATCTTTGTTATTGACATGGGCCTGGCCATGAAAGCAAACGCAAAGCAATTCAAATGGTCTGGCTTGGTGCTGGTATCTTTGGTTTATGAAGCCATGTAGTAAGACTTAACAACGGCAGAGGCTAAGTTGAGGAATCTGTTATGTTTCTTGTCTTTGCTCTTAGTTTACTCCATTGCAATGCTATCCTGTTGCGTCATGATCATAGTCATGGTCATGACCACCATCATGACCACCATAACCATGATGAATCAGAATCACATATATCTAAAGTCTTGTTTAACGAGTAAAAGATGCAGAGGAATGTCATTCTAGGGAATTCAATACAGAGCCTAGGAGTGATGATAGGAGATCATTGATTTGATTTGCACATTGGTTTTCTCTGTAATTGTCTTGGGGACAACGTTGGAATACTCAGGCTTTCTAGCATTTTCAAATTGTTTGACCTTTGACCATTTTGTTAATATGCTTCAATATTTTTATTTCCCATTGTACGAAGTGTTTTTAACCATTTTGTTATTCATTTAGCTGAACTGTGCAACAGCTGTTAAATGATTAATTTCGGTAATACATACTTTCGAGCATCACTTAAAAAGCTTCGGTTTTTTTGCTGCTTAGTCAATGGGCCAACACTTCTAAAAAGAATGTAATAATCGAGAATCTTTTTATAGATCAATCGGTCATCAAGTAATCCCTAGCTCTTATCTTCAATTCGAAACAAAAATAAAACAGAGTGCAATCTCATGCACAATAACAAAAATTACAAAGCTGCTTCTCAGACAATGGGCCAATAGCTTCCACATATGAGCTTGAGAACATGTTAAGGTTCTTCAAAATTTCAACTAAGAAAATGTCGCATAGAGCTCAACACTGCTCTCTACCTTAATCTAAAACACGAAGGAAAAAGATCCCCTTCAAGCATTTTAGATCAAAGTGTCATCAAGCAACGCAGAGCTCAAAACGACTCTTGAGTACCAAATCAAGTTCCCAGCCCTTATTTTCAGTGTGGTTAAAGCAAGAAAATCATCATAGAGCAGCACACAAAAAAACGAAAATGGAAATCATAGAAACTACTAAAATTAAAAACAAAAAAAATGATACCCAAATATTGATTAAGGGAAGGCTGCTTCTCAGACATTGGGCCAAGATTTTCCACATCGGAGCTTGGAAACGTGTCATGTCTTGATTTAAATCAAGAAAACTGTCGATAAGAGCTCGACATTACTCTCTACCTCAATCTAAACCATGAAGGAGAAGACCTTCTAGCAACTTAGATCAAGGTGTCATCAAGAGACGTCGAGAACTGATCGAATCACGTTCTCAAGCCCATCTTTTCAGTGTGGTTAAAGCAAGATAATCATCATAGAGCAACCAAAAGAAAAACAAATTTCACAAAACCCGGAATCGTAAAAAACACTAATTTAATATGAGGAAAGGTCAATACTTTATCATCGAAATCGGAAGATCTAGAAGAAAACATAAGGCCAGAAAAAGAAAGCATTAGCAAAGAGTTCGAAACAAGTTTGAGAAACATAGAAGTTGTCGAATCTCGAGAAAATGATAGAATCCACGGGGGAAAAAAATACCCAGAATTCTACATGTCCAGAGATTACAAAACATCAATGAAGATGTTTGATTTCGCATCGGAACGTACGATTTTTCTAAGCTACAAGAATGATAAGCTTAAAGAATCACGAATCTGTTCCCTTAAATGCTATTTCCTTAACCTAAGATTTCGCAAAAATCTATACTATTATAACGGAAGTGCATAAGAATCAGTCATGGCGGCGAAATCAAGGACAAAATCTTTATTTATAGCTTAGGTTTAGAATGTATTTATGGGCCTTTAGCTTATCTTTATGGGCCCACCATTAGCCCAAATTAAATTCTCATCGAAAACTGAAGCACCTTTCTCTTTCTTCTCCCACTTGGTTCTGTTTCTGTCGATGAAAGAAAAAAAAAACTTCTCACTTGGTTCTGTTTCTGTCGACTCAGTAAGAGCGTCTCTCTTCAGTGATTAATCGAATTTGCGGAGGTAAGCTATCCGTTTGCTCTGTTGCTTTTCAATTTGGATAGAAACCCATGTTTTTTTAATTGTTCATATAAGTAACAGAAAATTCCTTCTTGTTCGTTTCCAGGGCTCGACAATCTGAGATTCTCCTCTGTTTTAATGTCCCAAGGATATTCATTTCTTCACTATCCTTACGTTTTCAACAAAACCCTTCTATCTTATTACCTTTCGTCTCTATCTCCGTATCACGAAGCTATTGTTGTCTTAACCCAATCAGAAAAAAAAAAACTTTTTTGTTGTATTAACCCAATTTCTTCATTCTCCATGTACTCTGTATCACTCTGATCCGAATGTATAATATGTGCCACGAACCTATCAATATCTCTCCGGCAGAGTCCGAAATCACATTTCCTGAGTTAGACCACATCCCCTTGACGGCACGGCGGAGTTTGTTGCTATCAAGTGAAAGAGTCTCTCAAAGTATTGTGTCTGCGTAAGTACTGTCTATGGTTTACGTTTTTATTTTTCCCAATCCACTTATCGTTTTTGAAAACTTGTAGTTTCTGCTTTCACATATGTTTTCTTTTGTTTCTCCTGTTTTATAGACCCAATGTTGATTGTATCGTGAAAAGGGAAGAGGATTGCAACAGTGAGCTGGTAAATAAGTCTCCTGTTACAGTCAATTTCACCGTTGTTGCTATTAAGTTTACAGAACTGATAATGGAGTTTCCAGGGTGTAGTGTCAAATTGTGGTGCTCCAGAATCTACAAGCATTGGTTGCAGTCAAGGTCTAAATGAATCTGGAAACCTAAGACCACAGAACAACATTTTCGTATGTGGTGGTAATGCCGATGAGAATTTCAACAGAGTGGAACAAATCGAAGAAGGCGCAGGGAGTGATGCTCTTGAACATCTCACACTGAAAGAGAGGCGCAAAATGCTTTTAGAAAGGTGCTTTATTTTTAATGTCACAAGCTTCGCGAATAGTTTTCTGCATCTTTTCACTTGCTCGGGTTCATTTAGTGTCTAATGGTTTCATAATTGTAGTTGCAAGATGGTGGTAAGGTTGCCAGAATCGAATGAAGAGGTAACACAGTGACAAGTTCCTCCGGATTTTGTAATTTTTTGTTTGTGGCATCTGATAGGGCTAACTAGTTATTTGCGTTGGAAGTGCAGGATGATACGAAAGATTGCGATGAAACCGATCTTGATAAAATAAAAGCAGAGGTTTCATGCAAAAATGGGATAGCTTCATCTTCTGCGGTCCGATTCAGTGGTTTTCTAGAGAAAATTGATTCTTTCCTCTATAAAAAGGTTACTATAGCTTCAAATTCCGGAATTCAAGAGAGTGATGCAGCTGCAGCAGAAAAGCCGAGAAACAGTGTAAAAACAGTCAAAACATATCCTCTTCCTTTGGATGTGAGTGAAATACAGTTGAATCTAAAGGTCGAGCCTTTAGAAGATTGCGTCATGGAGAACAATGACGAACGCAATCATGTTACCTCAGAGCAAGTAGAGATCGAAAGAAAGGTGGAAACCCATGATGAAGGTCATGATGAAAATGAGCTAGATTGCGCGAGTTTGAGCTCTCGCTTGAATCGTTGTACATCTGCTCCGAATCCTTCTGTGTTTGTGAAAAACGAAGCAGAGACCGCTAGTGAATTGGATGAAGATGAGATAGACCACATGAAATTAATTGATCGATTAAAGCTTCGATCTTTTCAAGGTTCAGGTCATCATGAAGACCCTCATTCACCTAACTCAGGTTTTAGCTTCTGTACATCTGATGAGTACGTTAAACCTTTGAGGATATTGCGTCCTTGGAAGCGAAAGAGAACCGCCACGTGAGTTTTTCAGTTGTATCCTTTGGTGATATCATCATCTCTGTTATTTTGTGATCTTATGGTATGAAATAATCATTACAGGGACTCAATTGAGACAGCTCTGGAGGAAGATGCTCCTGGTCTTTTGCAGGTATCATAGTTTTCTTCTCAAAATTGAATTTTTAAGTAGCTTGTGCAAATTAAGATTTCTTGAAGCTCGTGTGCTTGAATCTGGTGTTTCCAGGTACTTATTCAACAAGGGGTATCAGTAGATGAACTTAGGCTTTATGGGGAGAATGCAGGTGGAGGTGATTCCTCAGATGATTCTCTTCTCGAAGAGAGCTTCTCGGAGCTCGAAGATGTGATCTCGCAGGTAAATGAATCAGTTATTTATTTTTACAAACGTTGCTTATTAACTCGCATCAAAAGATTGAATCTATTTTCGAAAACTGTATCAGCTTTTCTTTAAACGCGCGACGGGCCCGAAACTTCTTAACTTAAGCTTCTCAAAAGCTTCAAGAACTAGCTATTGCCTGACCTGTCTATTCTCCCTCATTGAACAGGTAAAAACTGGTCTTCTCGTTTTATTTTCTTAAAGATTTTTCCGTTTCTTGCTAACTTGTTTCCTTTTTGTTTTCAAGGCGCGGTATTTGCAGTTCCGCAAATGGCCTGTTGAATGGGGCTGGTGCCGTGATCTCCAGTCTTTCATATTCGTTTTCGAGAGACATAACCGGTAAACTAACTCTCATTCATTCTCTCTCCTTTGATATTGCGGCTCAACTAAAAGTTTCATTGATCATTATTACTTGCTACATACAGGATAGTAATGGAACGGCCTGAATATGGCTACGCAACATACTTCTTTGAGCTCAGCAACACTGCATCAATCGGGTGGCAGATAAAAAGATTAGTCTTGGCCATGAAACTCGCGAGCTGTGGCCGATATCAGCTGATTGAAAACAAGCCATTACTGGTAAAATCTTCTCTTTCTCTCTCTCTCTCTCTCACTGTTCAATATGAATCCGATATGGTGTTAACTAGGGCTTATTAGTCTGTTACTTGGGTGGTTTAACTAAAAAGGTAGGAGAAGATATGACGGAAGGCGAAGCGGAAGTACTGATGAAGTACGGTTGGGTTGCGAACACGGGACTAGGGACAATGCTAAACTACTGCGACAGGGTCTACCACGACAGGAAGAGCCATAAAGAGACATCGGAATGGAGATCTAAGATTTCTAAGCTTCTTGTTGATGGCTATAACAGTGGAACCATTGTCTCAACTTGCATTGCTCATTATTGTGATGTTGATGATGGACTTGACATGGGAGATGTTAAGCTTGAGCCTTGCTGATACTGTGAATCTCTCTGGTGGCAATTAGTGTTTTTAGAGTTTTCAACTGTTGATATGAAGCCTTAGATTGTTTGTTTTATTTGATCAACCAAATTTGTTGGAATCAGTAAGTATTATCAAAAAATATATATATATTGTTTACTCTCTTCCGGTTGTTGTTTTTCTATGTTATTTCACTTATTGTCAGACAGAAAAAAATTCATGTCATTTTACATCACGTTGGTGATGTTGCGAAAGGGTTTTGTTCTGAACAAACCCATTTTGGCAAAGCCAATCCAAAGAAAACTCTTAACAAATTTTATCCTCCTTCGACCGAGTCAAAACTATTTTGGAATTTAGATGGTACTTCAAGATAAAATAAAATTATAAACTGTGATATTATGTATTGCCGATTTAAATTTGATTCGAGATTGGAACCAAGAGCTATCATCTCTAATAATGTCAGGAATTCCACATCATAATGATATTAAAAACTTACAGTAATACTATATTAGAACAGGTAAAAAACATTACACTTTGAGTTTTAATCCCATCAATTTTGAGAGAAGGATGCTTTCATTTATCAGCACGGCCTCCATTTGGCGCACTAAAGTTTTCTAGTGCCAAGGAGAAGCCGAAGGCCGTATAATCGTGGGCCTATTGATATCAGGCAAAAATAAAATCATATGGACGTTAGCGTATATATAGAAGATTTTTCTCTGGCGTATAAAACAGTGAAGACTTGATCACTTTTTGAGACTTGATTCCATTTACATTTTACACATACGACTTTTTGTCAACCATCTTACAAGATTTATACAATAGTAACAATACTGTTTAATAAAATTCTGTTTATGAAATCTCTTAGCACATAAATGACGATGCATCACAAATGGGTGTATTCATTTTAATAAAAATCATAAAGTATATTGTCATAATGCATAAACACTTGAATTACTATTAAAGAAAAAAGAATGACTAGATTACTACAAAACTTGTGTATACATGCGAGATGAAAGCCGAATAATTTTATATCATATATTATGGGTACCTTTGCCAAAGGGATGAAAAGTTCAACAAAAAAAAACAAAAGTTTGTCAAGTTTTTTTTATATATAAAGGTGTGATGGCCAATGTGTCACAAGTAAGAGAACGAAACTATACTCATTCACCAACTTCAACAGTATTATAATCATTGTTGTCGTTACCAAATTCTATTTTTCTATAATTTATTTTAAAAAAATTATCCACCTAACTATTTATGATTTAAAATTCTGTGATAATTAATAATTCCTTTATCTTCAATTCCTTTCTCGTCTCTTTAAACCATCATTCACAGTTCCACTATCACCCTTTTGCTCTTCTCTGTGACAAGTCATGTCTTAGCAATGATCATATTTGTTATGTAAAAGGTTCTTATACATTCACTCTTTTTTTCCACTTTCTCTGTATTTTATAGTTCTTAATTTCTTAATATAACATATATTATACACTTTATGTGGCATAAAAAGGCACGCCTTTATGTTTTCTATCCAACCAAAAATTTGCGAGATTCACAACTATAGCGTGGAGGTTATGTGATTCATTCAGCTAAAAAGCACTTATCTTCTACATTTTCTTTCCAAAATTGAAAAAGGAATGTTAATACGCATGATTTTTTATAACTAGGATAATGCAACAGTTAAGAGCTAATTTTTACGTATTTTTTTAGAGATTTTGCTTTTACACGGCTAACTTTTTGATCGACTTTTATATTTGTATAATCAAAATGTTGGCGTTGGATCTCACATATATACAAGATTTGGTATAAAAAAAGCCACCAAAATACGTGAACAAGTGCAATGTCTTTTCGCCAGCGAGATTAATTCGCAAGATGCCATCTTTCTATAAATCCCATTACCTCGGAAAGTCCATCTCTACACAACCCGTGTAATCGTAGAGGGAAAGTTCGAGTTGTGGTTCGTTAGCTAATTACATGGTGGACTGTTTGGCCATTGGACCACCCAAACAAATTTGATGAAAGGAAGTGTCATACTGTGATCATCAAAAGTACTAAAGATCGATCTTTTTTTTTTGACAAAATGGTTTGGTGAAGGTAGTTACCACTTGTCTATCACTTGTGGTCCAGTGTCTTAAACTTCATACACATACAAAAATACATAATGCACGATATGACCAGTCATATGGGCACAGCCTTATGAAGCCACCGCTGCCCCCAATTTATGGGGTCCTAGATAAATAAGATTACAGACATGTGTCTTCTTTGGATTAAAGGATGAGACCACTTACAATCTTAACATTTAAATAAGGAAATTATATTAAATACTAGTTAAAACAACATTACAACAAACACTACTAAATTAAGAACAACATGTTTAAGAAATATATATTGTTACGTAGAAAAAGACGAGATATTGCATTTTACTTTACTTCAAAATACATTTATATTCAGAATTTAGAGTTGCTTAAAACAGTACTGTTATGTTCATAAAACTCAAGTATAACAAAAAGTAATGTGTCATCTGTTACGTCATGATCAATCATCTTATTATTTTTTCTAACGTCCAATATTCCATTATCCAAAAAATAGACAAACTTTATTACTTTCTTACGCTCATATTCAAAACTAAGACAAGGATTATAGTTATAATATGCAGCATGATAAAACTTTACAAAAAAAACAATTTCTAACTTAAATGTATAACTTTTAGCCTTTTACAGATCGAGTAGACCATTAAAATTAATCTTTTCCATGCAAACAAATTAGTGATATTTGAAAGTTTGATCATCTTTTGAATGATCAGCAAGCTGATACAAAAATTAAGTCATCTACCTTATAGATGTAAACTTTTTCAGTTTTTTCAACAGTATTCTTTTTATTTTATTTAAGGGATATGTCAGCATCGAGACATATACATGGTCGACGGAAAACAACAGGAAAAAACAAACAGATGTGTCATCAGCACTATATACATATAACAATATGTGTAAGTGTACGTATAATAATTGTAGTGCGGATTGATGCATGCGTGGGTCGGTGTATTTTTCGTACTTTTTGAAACATATTTGATTCATCGGGGCGGACCAAGGATACGATTACTTGTGAAAATTATACGAAAATAGTTATGGCCAAATTGAATTTCGAGTTTTATCCATTTCCGATCAATTATAATGTGAAATAAAATTGTTTGTACGTAAAATTATTTCCCACTATTTAGTTGGAACTTAATTATGACATTTTTTATATAGGATTTCGATCAATTTTGTAACTCATAACATTGGATATTTGGACATTTGGACTGCTGTTGGGGCAATCTTAAAAAACGTTTTCGAAACAAAATTTATCTGATAAAATGTTGACGTGAACATTATCATTTTTTGCTCCTTTTGAGTTTGGTATAGATTGGCAACATCGTAAATATTATGACTGTTCAGAAACATAATTGTTTGCCTGATTGCGTACTTGCAATTTGAACACTAGACAATTGAAATTTACGAAATGATCATAAACAAGAACTTCGAATTTTGTAACCAAAATAAAAGTATAGTTAAATTGAGAATATTTGGTAGGTGATACATTAACAGTATTAATGCTAATGAGTGTAGAGAGGTCGATGGTCCACCACAAATGTGCTTTGAAGTTTGAACGTGAGATTGAGAATATTTTGTAGGTGGTTTTTATTAATAAATCCTAAGAGATCATTCAATCATGATTGTGACGTTGTTTTGGTGAAGTCTATCATATATAACAATGGATATCATCACCATGACGCCATCGTCGTATCACCATTTAGTATTTTCCACTTTTAATCGAACAACATTGCGTGTTTTCAAGCAATCTCCAACAATTTTTTTCTTTGTATAGTGGGACTAAGGACTAAGGTATATTATAAGTATCCCGATGAATCGTAAAAACTAAGGTTTATACTAAATAGATGACTCAATGACGTGATGAAAAGTAGATAAAACTTTTGAAATTAAAATTAATTAAGTTCTTTTATAATGGAGGTTATTTATCGGCTAATCACTGCAAAAAAAAACTAATTTTTGACACAGTAATTATACTAATACAAACCACTATACTGCATGTCAGATATGGTGTTATAATAGAATTGAAAACGATTTGATTACTAGACATTAATTGACCGCAAACCTATATAGCGACTAGAGGAATTAGTTTCGCAACGCAATTGGAAGTGCGTTTGTCTATTTTGATTAATTATTCAACGTGTATGTTGGATTTCAAGAATCATATCATGAAAATCATTTGTTCTGTCACTAATTATATAAAGATTATAAACTTGATCAAGAGAATAAGAAATATTATAAGAAATATAGCAATTGGCATACATGCATGAAGATAAAACTTTAATGTGTTTTCATATGTTTCCATAAAAATATGTCAAAAAAAAACAGAGAAAAAAGTATGTTCAGAATTGCAATCTTTGTTACATGTATTTTACACCTAATCATCCACTAAATTGCAACACCGGCCAAACCCAAAGCCGCCACTTCAAAAACAATACTAAATTTTTATTTTTTTAAAAAAAAATCAACAATAAGGGAAAAAACTTAGAGGAGATCAAATGCCCATGAATCTTGATCAAAAACCATTCTTGAACATCCGCTACCATTTCCAACGAAACTATCATCATGATCATTCATAATCAAATCCAAGCTGCTCAAATCATTGATGTCCCACAAGTTCATCGTATCAGCATTGTTGTTGTACTTGCCGTCTTTGTAATTAATGTTATCCTCTGATGAATCATTGGATGAGAGCCACTTGAGGTCAATAATCTCCATTTCATCAAGAAACTTTGAGAATTCATCACCAGGTAATGATGATATACACGACGAGGTAGAAGAGGAAGAGGAAGAAGGCGAAGTGGAGTTACTAATGTTAATATTGGCGTTATCATCATTTTTATGATGATGGGCAGAAGAGGCGTCCATAAAGATCTCTTGTGGATTGAGCAATGGGACTTCATCAATGCAAAATCCATCATCAATAGATATTGAAATTTTGTTCTTGTCCAAAACTTGCTCTAGTTGATGTTGTTCTTGTTTGTCTTTAGTTTGTTGATCTTCGTGATCTTGTTTTCTGTTCTTGTCATCATGAGGCACTAAGCTTTTCTTGCTCCCTTGAGCTTGTTCTGAACCTTCTTGTTCCGAGAGAGGTTTATGGGTCAAAGGGTCAATACCCATCTTCCTTAGTTTTTTCTTTATGTGTGTGTTCCAATGGTTCTTTATTTCATTGTCAGTTCTTCCTGGTAGATGAGAGGCAATCTTTGACCATCTGTTTACAAAATTTAAAAAGATTCAAAAATTTATAAGTGAGAGTTTGACTAAATATTTTGACTGTTCAGTCATTTTCATCAGACCGATTTAATTAAACGATGTAGGTTAAAAATGACGACTAAATAAAGAAGTGAATTAGCCAATCTCTTTCATTCCAAAAGAAGAGATAAAGTTCGAGTTTTGTGTTTTTCCATCACCTAAATAACAATAATATTGAAATCTAATGGCTGTAATCTTTCTATATATTTTTATTATGAGTTAGTAACAATGTCAGAGTTCAAAGTAAATAATGTTTATCAATTAGAAAAAACAATGTTTCCATATATAATAGCCATTATTTTCAGGAGAAAGAGAATAAACCTATTGCCAAGTTGGGCATGAAGATCAATGACCATTTGTTCTTCATATTCTGATAAAAGACCTCTTTTTAAATCAGGTCTTAGATAATTTATCCATCTTAATCTGCAGCTTTTACCACACCTCAATAGTCCTGCATTTAGTTAATAAACCAAAGTAATGAAATTAACGATCAGATTCAACAAAAGTTGATTTATATAAAACATAACTGATTAGGAAGGAACCAGTGAAAAAAAATTGATTATTAACAAATAATAACGTGTGAGGACCACGAGTTGCAAACACTAAGATTTTTTTTGTGTGGCCAAAACACTATGATTAATAATCTGTTTTGTCAAAATATGATTAATAATCTAATACTATGCTTTTGAGTTTTTTTCAGTTCAAAAGATATATATATATATATATACTTTCAAAAAGGAAAGTAAGAATTAAAAGTAAATTTGTTTGATTATTGGTGCACAACAATACATACCTTAACTCATGAATCAGAAAAAAATAGAGAAAATAGCATTAAAGAATCAGTAATCAGGAGGAATAACATGGATCTGTTTAACTCGAAAACTAAACTTGAATTAAAAAAAAAAAAAGGGACGTTTTAAGCACTGATTTTTTTTTTTAACATTAAAAATAAAGAAGTGAACTTTTAAAAATACAAAAATATATCAAAACAGTGTCGGTAAGAGAAAGGGTAAAAGACAAGTATATAAAAAAGTGAAAAATTGAACATGGCCTATCCCAAAAGACGTCGTTTTTGAAAGAAAGAAAGAAAGAGAGAGAATATAAACCAGAAAGCTTGGGAAGAGCTCTCCAACAGCAGTGGCCATTGGTGAGGATGAAGTTGATGAGCTTCTTGTCTTCTTCAACAGTCCATGGCCCTTTCTTCAACCCTACTTTGTCACAACATGGTTGCCTCCCCATATCTCTCTCCTCTCTCTCTCTATTATATAGATATATACTTTATATATAGAGATGTGCTCAATTGGGTACCTAATATATACTTATAATGTTGTATTTCCAAGTCTTAAGAAGCTACACAACAACCTATATATAGTGCGAGAGATTTCAAAACCATGTTTGTGACTTTGTGGACCTACTTTTCTTCTCGTATATTCTATTAATTATAGATTTATCCACCCTTGTAATGATTTAAATCCATATGGAAAGGTCATAATTTGTAGACCTATTGCGAGATGAAGTCATGGTTTTACGCAAAAATTTGGGTTCTATCAATTTTAAAAACATGATAAGAAATAGAAAAATATGATAACATAGATGATAGAGAATAGATTGAGAAAATTAAGTGTAATTATTTTGGAAATGTTTAAATTTTCATTGTTTTTGTTATATAATAAAAATAAATAAAAAGATGAGTAAACTTAAAATCTACTTGTTAAAATATGATTGGCGGGCTTTTTTTAGAACAAGTGCCAACAAAAACTTACAGTACCATAACGTCATCATAGTGTACGTTTCCAGATCCCAATACACAATCTTAGTCATAAACAGATAAACTGGAAATTTGGATTGGTAAAATTTAGAATAACAGAACTCCAGTACAAAAGAATGTAAATTGGAAAAAAATAATAATAATTAATAAGCGAAAAATAAATATAATAAATCGTGTTTCCAGAAAAAGAATTGACAACTAGTAAACCCACTTAGCTTTATAACACACAAAAAAACAAAAAGTAGTTAACCCAGTTAATTGCACAATTAGTAGAGTTTTAATCGTTTAATTTTATTTTTATTTTTATATATAGTGGGCAACAAAAAATTGATCAATGATTATAGTTTGATGATTTATTTAACAAATGGATATTATGTTTATTTTTATAACTTCGATATTTACCGGGGATCTCCATAATAATCTTTGTTAATTTGAAGATATGTACAACAACAGCAACAAAATTTATGTATATAACAAAAAAATCGCAAAAGATCTTATATGTTTTAGTTTGTAAAGAAAACAAAAACAAAATACGACCGTCAATTCGTCATCTTGTGTCATAACTCGAACGAATCTAAAGATGTTAACAAAAAACAAGATTTAAATCCGAACCAATAAACCAATGTGGGTCTATTATCCGTAAAATGATCAAACATAAGGCCCAAGCACTTATAGGCCATAATAAAGTTAAGTATTGTTGGACCGGCCTGAAACTAATTTGCAATCTAAGATTCCAAAACTGGCAATTTTAATCTTTAACGGATCCGGCATAAGCAAATACATAAAGCCCAGATTATTTTGGGTCATAAAGCCCAGCGTTTGGTAAGACAAAAGCGATATAGAAGAGAGAAACAAATCTGACAACTATTTCAAGGAAATTAGTAACTCGACAAATTGTTTCAAGTTCAAAAATAATTATGTAGATGAATGATGTAACTGGAATGGAACAAATAAGGTAAGTTTAGGGAATATTTTTGTAGATATCGTTACATGTAAATAGAAACCAATTCTTTCCCCCGAATTTATATTGTTTTACCCTTTTTGGCCAACAATGTTCTTCTTACTTTTTATCGTTGGCATAATCATTGACATTGGAAAGAAACCGCGTCCAATCCTATCTCGATTAGGTGGCCATGTTGTGTACACTGTCGGTCTCAAACAACCTTACAATTTTTTTCTTATGAAATCTCACGAGGACAATATTTTTTTCAACCTTCACGAGTCTATGTAATTGTTTTTATCCACATATACTAATATATACATCTTATTTAGAACTAATTTTTTTTATTATTATTTGTATTGTTTTTTCTGATCGAACATTTGATGGCATCTCAATCAATTTATTTTCCAGCTCATGCATTATTATTCTTTTCTTTTTGTACAGGCCCATGTATTATTAGTATGCATAATATTTGTTTCAAATATTATCATGGTTGTTAATTTGTTAATAATTCTGATATACAATTAAAAGAAAGTTGTTATCATATTCGGGCAACCATGTGTCAAACAAAGTGTGTACTATAAAAATACAATGAATAAGTGGTCGTTTGATGATTTTAATGAGCTGGCAAAAGTTATAGTTTAAATTTTAGGAAAATGAACAAGTTGTAAAGGCTTAAATATTTTTTTTATATAAGGATTTGACAGGGTAACCCTAAGATAAGAGATGTGGCATTTTCTTGGGCAAAGGTATGTGCATGTGAACCCACATGGATATGCGTTAGAACAAAAGAAAAAATGATGTGTCCATGACTACGTGTAGAATGATTTATGCCACCTGAAAAAACTGATCAACAAGTAATACTTTAATACTAATTGATTTATGTTTTCTAAAATACAACATTTACATTTTGTTTAAAAGAAAACCAACTTTTACAAATTAAAAATCTAGCTCGAAATTTCAACAGAAGAAAATATTTCTATTATGAAGAGGGTTCTTAAAGAATAATAGAAAATCAAGTTTCAGAAGTTGTGGGTGTGCTTCGCCCAGAGTTTATGATTTTTTTTATTTTATTTTATGTAGTCACAACTGTAATTTCGAATACTAAATTTTCTCACAGATAAAAATATTAAAGCTACTCCCATTTTAGCATCTACAACATAATTAACGTTTTCAATAAATGCTACAACAACGAGACAAGTAGACTTATAAATTGTTTTTGATGTCGATGGATTCAATTCGGGAAAAATAATGCTTTGGCTGATTTTTTTTGATATCTCTAGGTCTACTATAGGCCATGAATCTCATTCTCGTACCAGGGTCAATTAGCTATTCTAAAAAGTTTCCGAAGACTTGTCATCTAGATAGATACTATCATACTAGTATGACTTAATACCTTCGTGATTTATTGATAACAAAAATTATGTTTCACCGTCTTCAATGGACCTTTGAAACACATTTGAATGTAGAATTCTAATTAAATAAATTTCAAAGATCAATTATATATTGACGATGTAGAAAATGAAACCAACATCTTTTTTTTCCTGACAATATACCTAAATAGGTTTGAATGGCTAACAACAAAATGTTTCGTCTGTAGTCGATTACAGTTTAAATTAGAATTTAAAGATAGTTTTCGTATATACTTCCCTCGTACGAAGTCGCAAAGCATATACACATTATTTGTAGCTAACAAGTAAGAGTAATCATTATGTTTAACAAATATGGTTAGGCTAGTTGATTATGATAAACTTGATGTAACTGTAATGATAAATTTTAACAAGAGCGACCAAACATTTTAAATGTAGATGTGTGGCATCATCAGGATGCCCATCAATTTCGCTTAAACTTCCAAACTATACCAATATCAACAACTAACAAACATTTTCTTTGTATCTTAACCAATACATAAGATAAGTATATTATAGGTCATATATATATAAATGATGTACTCAACTAATAATTTCATACATTAAGTCCTTAAATGGTTCTGAAACCCTGTATATCTACAATATATATTTCTTCTGTTTTATTCCTAAAGTGACTGATTCGAAATCTACTTTAAAGGCTCAACTGCTAAAGGAAAGACGAAGAAACTTTTGTTTTAATGGCCTTACCAAATCATTCAATTTGAATTTGAAAGGTGCCAAGGTGGGGGCTCGCTTGGGAGATTCAACTAAGCAACTTGAATAGACCCGTTACCTAAAGTTATATTTATTTCATGGAGTTTGTGATATGTATGTAGATACTTAGTCTTAGTCACCTTTGAAATAAAACTTGAAACTGAAGAAAGACAGAAGTTATTTGCCGTTGACTTGTTCATAAAAAGTTATTCTGATTGGTCGGAGTTGGAAGAAAGGACCAAACAATTTACCAATTATATCATATTTTCTCACCTTTTTATTTTTTGTTTTGTCAACTTTTGTATTTTTAGTACTTTGACAATTCTTGGTGCCGTTTTATTGCATAGTTATACGCCTTATCCACACAAGTAATAGGGAACGTATGGTATGGTTGGAGAGAAGAGTGGGCGGCCGATAGAAAAGGAGACATATATTTTTTTGGTCCAACACTCAACAATTGATATATTTAAACAATTCATAAAAATCGTCAACTATGGAAAAAAAAAAAAATCTTCAATGTATTTCTGAACTGACTTCAATAATCACCGAACAAACTATTTAAAGAAATTCAAATTGAGACCAAACAATTTTGAAATCGATCAATTTAGACCCCACCACCGAAAAAGAAAAAGAAAAAAATCAATCAGACAAAGGACCTGGTGAACCAGACGAACGAGAAACCTCCTCGATGAGCCTCGTGACTTCAGGCATTGAAGGACGACTGTCTGGATATTGAGCCGTACAACTTATACCAATCTTCAAAAGCCTGATCATGTTCTCATTACCGTCCGCTTGATACCTTGTTAGCTCTGGATCAAACACATCTGACGGTGATTGTTGTTCAGTGATTGATGAAACCCATCTCGGTAAATCTACTCCTTCTTCGGTTAACTGCTGGTGCGTTGGAGATTTCCCTGCAAGAACAAAAACAAAAAAAAATTACATTTTGACCGATGAAATCAGTAAAATGGAAATGTGGTTTTAAAGATCTCTCCTTGTACCTGTGAGTAATTCAAGAAGTAGAACACCGAAGCTGTAAACATCAGCCTTTTGGGAAATTCTACGAGCATCGGTTACTTCAGGAGCACGGTAACCATCAATGCGGTTAGGTGTAGATGTAGGACTGATCATAGGAGCAAGACAGTAGTCAGAGACCTTAGCCTCAAAGGATTCAGACAAGAGGACGTTAGAAGATTTAATGTTGCCATGAGATGTTGTCGCGTCACGTGAATGAAGGTAACTAATCGCTCTCGCAGCTCCTAGAGCTATACCGGCTCTTGTTTCCCAATTCAATGGACTCCTACCACTTCCTTTGTTCCCTGTGAATTCAAAAGAATTGGATTTTACTATCTATGATCACTAAAAGAATCGAAATTGCAGAAAATAATTGAAAAGAAAAGGTTTTGTACCGTGTAAAAGCGCGGACAAGCTTCCTCTGGACATGTATTCGAAAACGACAAGCTTTTCATCGCGGCTGAAGTAATAAGCGATCAATGTCACGAGATTGACATGGCTAAGTGATCCAAGAACCTGCATTTTCTCTCTAAACTCTTTCTCAGGCACCACCACATCTCTCAATCGTTTCACAGCCACCACTAATCCGTGATCAAAACTCGCCTTGTACGATGATCCCAGTGTTCCTTTACCAAGAACTTCCGCAGAAGCCTTTAGCAACCCATCGAGATCGAATTCGCCTAACGACTTCACGAAAAATGTCAGATCTTTACTCACTGCAGGGGTCTTTGATGCACCGTTTTCAGATGACGGTGGTGCACCGTTAGCCACCGGGTGAGCGGCATTGGCCACCGCCGATTCCTTGGCCACGGCGGCTGATGAGGTGGGAACAGGAGCTGCTTCGATGTTTCTAGACTGGACATTGTCCTCTTTCTTCTTCTTTCTGCAGAGACAGAACAAGATCAGGAAGAGCAAGAGAAGCACGACGAAACAAGCAATCACTATTCCGGCAATAGCTCCGGCGGATAACTTGTCGCTGTTGCCTTTTCCGACTGTTTTAGTGCCGTTTCCGGCGACGGTGACGGAACAAGCGTCCAACGGCTTCCCACAGAGCGAGTTGCCTTCAAAAGCGGTTTTGGGCATACCCGACAACGGATCCGGTATCGACCCGTTTAATTGATTCGATGAGACATTGAATTGCTGAAGCGGAATCTTGATCTCCGGGATCGAACCGGTGAGCTGATTATCCTGCAAGTAGAGAGTAGCTAACCGGGTCGCAGAATTGACATTATCCGGGATCCGACCCGAGAAGTTGTTCTGGGCAAGGTTGATCCGAATCACGCTAGGTAAAGTGAAGAGAAACGAAGGAATCTCGCCGGAGAAGGCGTTTCCTTGGAGATACAAGTATCGGAGGAGAGTTAGGTTAGCGAAATCCGGCGGGATTGGACCGGTGAGGGCGTTGAATCGGAAAGATAGGGTTTCGAGCTGAGTTAGGTTTCCGATTGCGATTGGCAACGGGCCCGATAAACCCACACCGGGTAATCGGAGTGCTGTGACCCGACCCGCATTGCATTGAACTCCTCCCCAAGTACAAGGTGGTGCGGTTAGATTCCAGAGGAGAGGACGGCCATGGACGCCGTCGCGGAGAGCAATTAGAGCTCTTCGATCAGCTTCTAGATCTGATTTCACGGCAACGAGACAGAAGAAGAAGAAGAAGACGGAGAGACCTAAATTGGTCTTGTTCTTCATCTTCTTCTTTCCAAAGTTTAATCCTTTTCAACACTGAATGCCTCTCTCTCTCTGACTAAGATCGATTCGGAAGATAGGTTTTTAGAGATTTTGTCGGGAAAATCTTTGTATTTTCCGACTACGTGTAGAACAGTGTTTGGAGAGAGAAAATACCGGAAGAAAATCCTCTCACTAATTTCAGCTCTCTCTCTCTCTCTCTCTCGCTGGCTCTACGAGAAGATGATGAAGGATGTGAGAGAGAGAGAGAGAGGGACTATAATTGCAGACTGCAGTGAATGGAAAGAAAAAGTTAATTGTTGAATTTTACCCTTTTGCAGAAACCTAGAGAATCTTTCCACTTTAATATTCATTATTTTATTCAAAGCAAGAGGATAATCAATGAAATATTGTCTTTCCTCTTGTTTTATTTTAATTTACATTTTAAGTAATAAATCCTCTGGTTAATATAGTTTCATGTAATGTAAAATCTTGGGAGATTTATGAAAAATTGTATAATAAATACTTTTATTAAAATTATTATATAGTTTTATGCGAAATTTAAACTAATCTCCGTTTACGTAGCTTTGTTTTTTTTTCTTTCAGTAAATGATTTGGGTCCCAAATGATTTTAACGTTTAGTAATATGTTTTTGTTTCGGTATATTTTATACTGCTTGTCTATGGGAAACAAGTAACTTTTTTTTAGTCTTCGAGTTATATGTCTAACTCGATACTATGAACTGTCTGAACAACGACTAAATTAAGTTCTCGTCTGATATGTAAATATATATATATATATTTATATATATATATATCAAAAAGTTGTCAACCTAAATTCACTTGCACATTGTTTTCACAAATTCAAATGCTGCATGTAACTATTTGCACATAAAAACGTGTATTATACGCTGGTATTCGCTGTGCGTTGAATAATATGACCAGATTATTTACAAATGTTTCAATAAATCAAATGAGATAAAGTGACAACCATTTAATAACACTGCTTTGATGTTATTCTCTTTTTTAAAAAGGTTTTAAAAAAACCAAAAAAACACTGGTTTCTAATTTATAAAGTCTATGTTCAATATGTACAAAAACTGAAAAACAATATTATACAGTCTGACGTATATATCTCTCATAAATTATATTACAAAAAAACTATCTTATACAGTTTGATATAAATTAAGAAAAAACAATATGATCTTCATGCATGAAGGATTGTTACTAGACAATTCGTAACATCAAAAAAAAGATTGACATAAAAAAAAACAATATGTTTGGAGGAATTCCTTTACAAGCATATGGACTGCTTGATTATTGTTTCGGGAAGTCATCCATTTAATTTCCACACCTTCGAGTTTCTCCATCCAGAATTCAGTTTATATATGCTTCAGAAATTTTACTTCTTATAAACGGAGAAATATATTTTATACTAGCTATAATATTTTAGATCGAAATCCTTAAAGATATATCAGAATATCTCATTAAGATACATTTAGTAATGATGACATATTTTTAAGATTCTCAATTTTGGTTATTAAATATACTATGGAATTGATGAGCCCAACGTTTTAATTTAGGCCCAACCTCTAGTTGACAAAAAAAAGCTTGTTATAGAAAGTGAGCCTATTATATTGAATTACGGCCCCATAAAATATGATTATACAGAGTAAAGAGACTGGGGGTCTTAACAAATAGTTATTTTTAAGCCCATTTGAAGCCCAACAGCATAAAAATTGGCGTTGCAATGTTTTTAAATGGTGTCTTCGAACACAATTAGTCTGTCCAGGTAATTAGTTGGCAGCTTAAGTCGATCGAGGTTCTAGTTATAGAACTCCAGTCCAGTATGTATTGATCCAAATGACTCGTAGCTAAAACTATATGTACAAAAAAAACTCTCTAAGGATCATAGCACTAAATTGTTCATCGTCTAAAATCGAATATTTCATGGGAAATACAAAATTTGTTATTCAAACTGTGAATTTCAAAAACTTATAGTTGTCGGATCTATCACTGAACTAGTAGGCTACTAGTTTGTACACCACCAGTTGTTGCATACATGTAATTCGAACAAAGCTATTTATAATGGCAGAAAACATTAAAATGAAGACTATTCTGTTGTTAATTATGCATAGATGTGTGAGTATATTATATGATTTAGGGAAAATAATAATAGTTCTGGGATAAAGTTTAAAACTAATACTAGTTAGAAGATAGTTACAAAAGCATCGGTCCAATTTATATGATTCAGGGAAATTAATAATAATTTTGATTGATACAACAACCCATCAGTCCAATTTATCATCACTTTCAGATACAAGTTGAAGTTGGGACTACGGGTGTTTGGAAGATTACGACTCTCCCACAAATGAAACAAAGAGCTTTCGAAATTTAATATATTTAAAGTTTTCATATAAGAAAATTGCTAGACAAACATACAAAGTACCCCAAAGTCACGGGAACATAATGACCCACCAACCAATTTCAATTATTATCACAAACTCAACATATATATCAGTAATTCTAATGATGTGAATATAAGAGCTGCAGTTATGATTTTTGGTTTCACTTCATTTTATTTTAGTTTTTTTTTCTTTCTAATTTTAAGTTTCGAAAATCTGTAAACTGTAAATAATTTCTTTTTAATAAGACTCTTATTTAGATTCAGCTTTAAGTTTTAGGCAAAATGTATATGTATTAAGTATTTTAAAAGTGAATGTTCTATTAGAATCATTTTCTTTAACAAATAAGTATTAATTTATTTTGCTTCTTCGTTTTGAAATAGTTTATAGTTTTTTTTGTTGTATTTAGTTTTTTTTTTGTAACGTCAAATACTTCATTGTATTTAGTTTTTTTTTAATCAATGTTTTTGGGACAATATATATATTTTTTGCCATTGGTTATGGTTAGAATGTATATTATTTTACGTACAATCAAATTTCTTTTCTATATTTGGAAAATTTAACACAATTTTGCATCACTAAGTAAAGCGAGCATAATAATACCCCGTGAAAACGAAGAGCGTATATAATTGTGAGAGATACGGTTAAAACGAGAATCTTGAGAAGATATAGTTTGGATCATAAATGAAATTAGTGGAAGCTTATGGCTCACCACTCAAATGTTTGAGCCCCACGACTTAGAAAAGTTTGTTCACGCATTTTCAATGTAAACAAAAATATTTTTTTCTTGGTGATTATTCAAACTCAGAGTTTTGGTCCAAAAGTTAAATCATTAACAAATGAAAAAATTTAGTAAATGAATCCTTTTTTTGGGTAAGATTGAAAGATTGAATGAATCTAATTTATTAACTTCCCGTACACCCGCTCTCTCTCTCAAAAGATTCTATTTGATTTATATATCCTTCCTATTTTAGATATAAATGATACTATTTGACTGTATTATTTTTGAGAAAAAAAAAGATTCTAAAAATATATATTCCCAATTTCCTAGTTAAGAAAAATTTAGTAAATGAATCTTTTTTTTTTGGGTCAAGAGTGAATGATTCTAATTTATTAACATCTCATAGAAACGCCCTCTCTCTCAAAATATTCTATTTGATTTATATATCCTTCCTATTTTAGATATAAATGATACTATTTGACTGTATTATTTTTGAGTATATATTAAAAAGTGTGGTAAATATGTGATTGTATTACACGTGAACCATGGTTAGGTGAGATTATATGGTAATTTTACCGGGACATCAAGTCAATAACTTTTATTTCCCTAAGATTTCCCTAAGTTACTGTAAATATAGAAGAATCTTATAACCTCAGAATCAACCAGAATCTCCTGATAATTTGCATTTCTAATAGTAGCCCGATATTTCCGCTTTCTCCGTATTATTTTCCCCCAAAATCACTTTCCATAGCAAAGTCAAGCATACACCTACCCCTTCTCTCTCTCCCTATATATAAACACTCGCAGGAATCTCTTTATTGTCACAAAAAAGAAGTTGGATTATTTTTTCAGATTCCTTAAAAAATGTCGGCACTTGCAGATTTAATTAATCTCGATCTCTCCAATTCCACTAAGCAGATCATCGCCGAGTACATATGGTCCGTACAATTCTTCATCGATCTCTGTCAAATGATCTATACTTTGTGGTTTAATCTATCATAGTAATAGATCAAAAGTTTTGGTTAATCTTTGCTTTTGCGTATGAGTTGGCGTTTATGTCTAAAATTATATTCCTCGTGGATATTTGTTAAATATGTGTGAGTGAAACCTTTGCTTGATATACTGAAAGATTTTGTATTGATTGAACATTTTGATTAATATTTTGTGATTCTTTATGAATAGGGTTGGTGGATCAGGCTTGGATATGAGAAGCAAAGCAAGGGTAAGAAAATATTATAATTTACAAAAAAAAAATGTAGAGCATTATCCGATGAGAATTTAAGAAATGATTATATTATTATATTATTACTGTAGACTCTGCCGGGACCAGTGAAGGATCCATCGGAGTTACCAAAATGGAACTACGACGGTTCAAGCACCGGCCAAGCTCCCGGTGATGACAGTGAAGTCATCCTCTAGTATGTTTCAAAATCTAATTAAAACAGCTATAAGTTAGTTAAATTTATAAATCATGAATTAATAAAACTGGTTTTTCTATGTGTTTGTTTTTTAGCCCTCAAGCTATCTTCAGAGACCCCTTCAGAAGAGGCAACAACATCCTTGTAATGACATATTTAACACATTAAATATAAAAAACTCTTCAAAATTGTTATATATTAATTTATTTTGGTTCTGGGATTTGATTTCGAATTAGGTGATGTGTGACGCATATACACCGGCCGGTGAACCGATCCCATCGAACAAAAGGCATGCGGCAGCCAAGATCTTTAGCGACCCTAGCGTTGTTGCCGAAGAAACATGGTATACATCTCTACAAAGAAATGTTTTGGCAAAGATTATTTCAATTTTCCTATAAGTTTGCATAGTTGTTTCTGGTCAACATCATCATCGGTTAATCTAAATTTTCAGGACCTTTGTTACGATATTTTCTTTTTTTGGTTGTAGTTATTTTCAATATTCAAATTAATTAATCAAATATTGAAAATTCAGGTACGGAATTGAGCAAGAGTATACTTTGCTACAAAAGGATGTTAAGTGGCCTGTGGGTTGGCCAGTCGGCGGCTTCCCGGGTCCTCAGGTAAAGCTTTTTCCGGCGAATCTTTTCACATACCCTTTGTGGAGTCAATTCCAAAAGTCCAGTTTTTTGCCCAAGAAATCATTTAGAGGAAAAAAAAATTAAATCTTTCAAAACAGGGA